GCGGGTTTGTAGATTAGCAAATGGGGAGTGCCGGGTAAGGTTTTGAGTGGAGAAGAAAAACGAGCATCGCTATTGGCAGATGTAGAATTTTGAACCATTCTTCCAGCCCATAAATAACCAGATATAATATTGGTACCATAACTAGAAACTGACGGTTAGGTTGCGGAATTAACCACGTTTTAATTTCCTCTAACAGCTTGTGAACCTTTTTGTTTGTGTTATGATTTTGTTTTTCTTTTACAACCAAAAAACAATATTTAATGCTACTTGATCAGCACTATTGCAGGTTGCAGCTCTTGCTAAAGCAAAAGTGTAATTTGTGTAAACTGCTGATGTGGAAATATTTAGCGAGGTTCGCAATAAATGACTTCATTTTTATGGTTTTGATTATGTTTTAATCGTATAAAAATGTAGAAATTTGATCGAAATATCAATTTAAAAGCTGTTGTTATTTTTGATTGGAACAATTTTTATAATTATTTAGATGCAAATATTAAAGCAGAAAAGAAGGCAAGTTATTAAGAATTATGGATCTTGAAAATAAATGTTATATTAATCCACCAGAAGAAAGATACGAATTACCTAAAATGGAGAATATAAATTTACTAGTTAGTGATGACTTAAATCCATATATAGAGGAAAGGAAATGTTCTAAACATTACAGTAATTAGGTTTTGATTTCGGATGATATACGTTTAATACGATATTATATATATAATTTTTATTAGTAGGAATGACACCCATTAAATTTACCAAAAACACTTCAGTTGAAGCTCTTGAACCATTTAAAAAGTAAGTGTTATGTTGCCACTATTTAAATTTGACGTATATACACTCTTGAATATGAAGTAGCTATGTAACTTTTAGGTGAGTGTCAACGTCTTTTATACTAACAGGCACCATGAAACCTCTAACCAGACCAAAAATTGACGAAAAAAGAAATTCTGTAATGTATTAGCGCCGGGTAACTAAAATTGCCGAAAATAATGCCCTATTGTTTAGAGGTTGACAGTATTCTAAAACGATCATGAATCAATATGAAGCTCTTCTGGGTATTACCAGCATTTGTCAAGAGGAATTGTCCGTTCCTTTGTTCTGTGCGTTTTTATAGTTACTTACTTTGTTGCGGAAATCGCATTGTTTTTTTTATCGCATTGTTTTTTTTATCGCATTGTTTGCAAAGAACCACGCACTTGTTGTCGAGATAAACCTCTTTATAAAAAAGTTCAGACGAACCATAGAAGTTCGAGAGTTTTCACCACATCTACACTTCTCTTGATCATACGCAGTGGCAATGACTCAAGCTTTACGTCCGCCTTCGTTCATGGAACGTTACCAATTATGTCGTGTTGATAACAAGTACTACCCAAATTTCAACGTGACCGTCAAATATGCATCATCAATCAATCCAACAGTATTGGCACATGCCGTGCACAACATCATTGTAAAGAATCCACTTCTTGCATGCAACTACTTTAGAACCACTGATGATGAGGATCATAATGACTACAGAAACTATTCTGTTCGTCCTGTTGATATCAAGTTTGATGATTTGATTTCTGTACAATCAGTCCCAGAAGAGACTTATATCAATGACCAATTCTTTGCTGAATTGAACAAGATCCACTTTGAATTGAATAAGGCTAAGCCGTTATGGAAAGTGATACTCAATGGACCTTATGTGACGATTGTGTGTTCACATATATATTTCGATGGCAATAGTGGGTGTTTTTTCCACAAGGATTTACTTGGAGAGTTGAAGGAGTTGGAGAGTATTGAGGACCTGTTGGTGCCATTGGACTTCATTGTCAAAGCGGTTGAAATTACTGCAGTGCCAGCACCAGTCGATTCAACTTCATCTTTGTATTCATTACCCATTTGGCAAACAGTCAAAAATGTCTTCAAATTGGCCGTAGCCCCATCTTGGTTTAAACCACAGACTAAATTTCCATTGTTCAAGACAGCCCCAATCGTCGTTGATCAAATTACTCACTTTAAAGTTATTCATATAGATCCAACCACCCTCAAGTCAATATTAACTCACGTCAAGTCATTAAATACAACATTAACACCATGGTTAATTGCCATCACATTCAATCTGTTTCTGAAAGTACATCCAAACAACTCCTTTGATGCCACCATCCCCTTGAATGGTCGTAGGTATTCACCAGCCGACAAGTATCAAGTGGTTGTTGCCGAGTGCACAGTTACCCTTGACCCACCGTTTGAAATCGAATCAACATCATCGACAATCTCAACTCAGTTAACCGACGAATTGGAATCGCGCGATCCTTTCAATCGTGTTGCGTTGCTTAAATTGGTCAATGTAGGCAATTATGCTGGTCAAAGAATTGGGACCCATTCAAGACATACAATGGAAATTAGTAATGTCGGTAAATTACCTGTACCGCAATGTTGGTTTAGTCAAGGATGTGGATTTTCCGCTCATTTGCAAATGAATGTGGCTAGTGGGGAAGATGGTATGGATATTGTATTCGCTTATGTTGATGAAGTTGAGAAAGATTTTGATGAATTCATGATCAATTTTCATAAAGAAATTGAAAATGCTAAACATACAGCTACATGAAAAAAATCAAGTTATCGAGGTGTATATACTATTTGTCTATAAAACATTATAGAGCGCCTTCTATCAATCGTACCTTTTTCTCCCTATAATAGACTAAATATTTTTATACAATGCAAAAGAAAGTGAACCATCTTTTAAAATCCGCCGGTCAAGTTCCTTATCTTATCAACCTCGTCCTGTAATGCTTTCAAGTCGTCTAAAATATTTCCGGTAGAGTCATTGCTGGAGTTTCCTGAAGCATATACGTTTGGAATCTTGGGGGGTAATGCAGGTGGCTGTTGTTGTGTTTGACTTTGCGACGGATAATACTGCTGCAGTTGTGATTGCTGAAACTGGGGTGGTTGTGGAGACGATATACCCCTTCCACTAGCATTCCTTCTTCTTGGTGGTGGGGGTGGTGGGACAGGCTTGTTCGGTATTGGTGATGAGAACGATCTATGACGTGGTACCGGTGGCTTCCCGTTTTGCAATGTATTTTCCATGGTTGGACCAGTCATTTGTGAGGTAAAAGCCAGAAGGGATATTTTGGGCAATTCCTGTTGTTGTTGTTGCTGCTGCGGTTGCTGCGGTTGCTGTGGTTGTGACACTGGTGGTGGAGAGAGTGTTTGTTGCATTTGTGGAAGCAGTTGATGAGACTGCACCGCTGGTGGCGAAAAAAGTCTTGCCATGTCAGCAGGACCAGTTGCATTTGGTCTCAATGGCTTCAAATCGGGCTCACCTGTGCCAAAGTCTGGTTGAAGACTGGAGAACATTTTCGACATTTGCGCCGGGCCCGTCATATTTGGTTTCAACAAATTATCGTCTTGTCCATTGGCACCCCCACCGAAATCAGATGGAGGAACTGGCGTGCCCCCAACAGACACAGTGTCCACCGAATTCAAGTTCTGGAAATTGTTAATCTCAACATCCTTCAACACTTCCTTCTCCTCTTCTCGCTCCTGTGGGTTTTGCAGTTCTTGGCTATTTTGCATCTGTTTGAGCAATTGGTCCATGGGCAATGTGTAGTCAAGTGGGTTTTGCGACACAGGTTGTGGTGATTCCATTGGCGTCAAGTAATTTGAATCGTCATGCACATCCACTTGATCGGAAAATTTAACCTTTTTAGACTTGCGTTTTCGCGAGTTAGAATTGGAATTGGAATTGGAATTGGAGGAGGAGTTGGATCCGGGTCGCTCCCCAGTTAACAAAAACTGGGTAAACCCATCAATGTCAAGCGGAGCCATTGGCTTTGTATCGCTATTCAGTTTGACATTCTGCTCATTGTCAACCTCAGCATCACTTCTATCTTCATTGGAGCTGTCTTCCTCATCATTGAGTCTCTTTTTCGATAAAATGGATGGCGGAGTCGGCACCGGAGCCACAACTTTGATCAATCTGCGCAGCGGTTTTTCTCCTCTTAAAGTATGACTTATTACTCTTAGCAAAGCGAAAAACTCTCCTATGTTGATGCTTTGGCTGATCTTGTGGAAGATATGACTTATTTGCTCCCTTGTTGAGCCGGCAATCTTAAAGTTGGTAAGGAAACTAAACACATCAAAAATTGAAATTGTTCGACTGTTGGTTCTTGCTAGTATGTCGCTATACCATCTCATGTACGTTTTCGATTCTTGCAATGTCAATTCTTGCGCTGTTAAACTTAAAGGGATGCTTGATTCGTACTCGTCGGAGGCTCCATTTTCATAAGGAATCGAATCAAGCGACAAGTTTGGATGACGATTGGTGTTGGGAACAGCTAGTAGACTCTCGTAACTATTATTGTCACTGTGTGTGATCTGAGGTGGCTTATCTGGGTACAAATGTTTTATGTGGTTGAAATTTAGTCGTGATTTAGTTGGAGTCAGGGGAAAGTTGCTATCGTTGTTGGGACTTTTATTGGGACTAATTTCGTTCCTATTGCCAACAGTGTTTACATCGTACCAATTCATCTCAGTTTGTGATCAGTGGTGTACTGGGTGGTGAAGTAAAGATGAGCGAATGATTATTGGTTTGTGTGTTGCATAGGGCAAAGTCAGAAAACGACGAACTTTTTGAGATCTTTTTTTTTTTTCTACGTCAGTGTCGCAAATGAAGAGTAACGTGTATGCATACGACACGACTATAGAACTTTACTCGAAAGGGTAATCTACTCAGCCATCAACTACAATAATAACTTTAGTGGAAAATGTCGTCACTCGTTAAGATTAAGATACCAGAATATGTAAAAGTATAAAAGCAAATATACCTATATTTTTTTTTTTGATTTTCTTATTTTCTGTCATTAACAAGGGTCACAAATAGGGGTATCTTCAAGACTTCCTACTCCAGCTAATGGTGCATAGCTTCTTGTAATGCAACAGTGTCGGCAATGTGTCTGTTGTTGTTTATTCCCACTGGAATGTTTCGTTGAGGCGAAGCAACTCTTTCATGTTCGGATCCAGCCCAATCAGTATCCTCCTCTAAATCTTGAAGCTTTCCTTTACCCTTGTCAGTGTAGACATCACCAATATTCGATCCGGCCATTTTTTCAACTTCTTGTGCCGATGGCATGAAAATGACTCTTGTACCAGGAGATTTGGCCATGTTTTGTAAAGCATCCAAGTATCTGATTTGCATGGCCGGTTTAGAAGCCAAGATATCAGCAGCCTTTCTCATCAATTTGGCACTTTCAACTTCAGCCTTGGCATTGATAATTTTACCTTCACCAATTCTCTTGGCTTCAGCTGCCATAGATAACGAAGCTTGAACCTTGTCAGGCAAGGTCAAGTCCTTGATTAAAATCGATTCAATATTGACACCCCAGTCGAAAGCAGTCTTGGCAATAATTTGCTCAATCGATTCAGCAATTTCTTCTCTCTTTTCAACAACATCCTGCAAAATTCTACCACCAATAACGTCTCTCATAGTGGTTTGTGTCCTCTCAATAATAGCATTGTCGATGTTTTGAATTGAGAATATAGCCTTCATTGGGTCGATGATGTTGTAGTACACCACAGAAGTAATAACAACAGACACGTTATCTCTTGTCAAACATTTTTGGGCAGGGATTTCACGAATGTTGATCTTGATTGAGACTCTTGTCAATCTCTCACTCCATGTATTGACATAGCTTAATCCCGGCTCAACCGTTCTCGATAATCTACCAAAAGTTTGCACTAAACCAACCTCACCTTGATCAACTTCCTTGTATGGGTTTTCACATAAAAAGCAAAACATACCGCATTGACCAAAACATGAACCTAAACCGGAAATAAAGCTTTGATAACCGCCTGCCTTGGGGATTTCATAAGTCTTTGCAAAGTTTTTCAAAACCATATCTGGCTTGACTGATGGCTCTTCTGAGATGGTGTTCATTTTTTGCTTGTAAGTAACTGGATCAAAAGAATCAGTGGAGTGGGTATCAGCACCGACAGTAGTAGAATCGTTAGCGCTTTGCATTGTTAAAAAGTATGTATGTGTAGTTGTAATAACTTGTTATTTCCTGGTGAAGTGAAGGTGGGAATAAACAGGTTGAATTTTGAGGGAGGAATTGAAAGGACAATTGTTTATCCTTTTATATTCCTTGGCTCGTCGTGTGTTGTTTTTGTTTTTGTATCCTAGCGCTTTTCTTTGCACTCTGTGTTGTGTATATTATGTAATCTCTAGTAGTTTAATAGTAGTTAGACTGTATTACTGAATATTAAGTAATAGCTGAGGTAAGACAATTACTTTAAGCGCTGTACAAAGGAGCGTACTAAAAGTGATCAGCCCTTTCTTCTTCTTTTTCTTTTTCAAATTGTTCTACTGAACCGTTAAGTAATAAATTACGTAATCATATTGTCTTTTAAAGTGATTCTAATAATTACACAAACATGTTTTTTATTGTGCATAACCTATAAGGAAGGCTTGGCAGAAGAAAACAAATTATATATCTTTATCGTCATTCGCATTAGCTCTCCTTCTCGAGAGGATTTTAAACTTTGGTGCCGAGGAACTGTCCCATATAATCTTCTCTTATTCCAGAAGTATATATCAGCTTTGAGCCCATGTAGGGAAAAATGGAGCTAAAGCAGGGGAGAACCCCAGGAATCAATTGTACATGTTCATAAACTTTTTAGCATATCTTTCAGTTAACCACATTGTGCTCTAGAGAATCAAATAAAAGCCATCTAAAACTTCTTATCACCGAAGTTTTGAAACAACTAAACATTCTTCAAAAACCATTGAGGATTCGATAAGGTACAAGCAGGCTGTACCCTCATCCATGCCGTTTTGTCGATACTCGGTTCGATACTATCACAAAAACGGAATTAGAATGGGAATACAGAAAAAAAGTCATGATCAAAAAAACAAACAAACAAACCACATGACAGAAGAAAACTCAATATAACCGAAATAAAACCCACTCAAAAGTGGTGATGTAATGGTGATTTCCACAGTTCTTGAAGCTTTTGTCCCTATGTATGTTGCGAGAATAACGGAAATTCTTTTTCTAGAGCTTAGTAATTGGAACCCACTAACAAAGGTTCCATTGCAAACGAAGCTACCTACACTAAAGATAAAGAGTCCCCACTTGCTCTGTATAACTTTACTCATTATGACTCTCGGCAATAGTCAGAGGGTGGGCTTAGCCAACAAGTTCGTATATGGCATCAGTATTTATCTGGGGTCATCTAGTAACACAAAACGGGAAAGCATAAGCGCGACGCATTAATTGAATCTTTTATACTTGTCGGCGATAAACGCGACTAAAGCCGAAATACAGAATCAATCTCGGATCGATAGTAGTTTATTTGCAACGATAAGAAGAATTGATAGGCACGTTCTTAGAAAAGATACAACACTAAACTTCACAGTCGAGGAAATGTAGTCATTCGTTTCATCTCGGCTTCTATTTCCATTTTCTCTCTCATCTTTGATTAGATTATGCATAGTACCTTAAAAAACACGATTGAGGCTTGGCTCAAAACTGTTTTCTGATTAGTAACAACTTTAGAGTCAAACTAGGCTTTAACTGCAAATCAGAACACTCACAAAAGCTAATAACTACCGTATCACGATGCAGAATTAATTTCTGGCTCCTCCCACCCACATGGTTACCAATCGGTGGAGACAGTTAGTTTTTGTCTTATTTGAGTGGTGAATAAAACAGATTACAAAATGTAATAAAAAATATGATATCACCCTCTCTGTCCAACTTAACGCCGAAATGAATGACTCTCTTCCAACTCTGTTTTCACAAATTTCTACCTGGATGACGTAATACCAGTTGAGAATAATAACACTGCACGTTGTACGTGTGTATTTACTTCTATAGTAAATCTTCAAATCACCATTAAGTTTGCTATCGAGAAAAGTAATCTACCTTGTCGAAGATTTGCCATTACTACACGAAGAGGGGTGACAACACGTTTCGACTAAATACATTGACGCACACATAGTAAAGTGTTCATCGTATTTTTAAATAAATGTATGATTACAATATGCCTTCATTTCCTCCCAGGAGAGAATGAAGTTCAATTTGTGATGAGAATTGTATAAAAATAGCAGAACATAAAGAGGATCTCATCCCATCTCTTGGTTATCATGGATTAGAGGTAAAACCCGGTTAGGGGTACCAGCATAATTTACCATCTCACGATCTGGTCTAATCAAATAGTGCCGTTCATAATAGAGGCAGGTTACCAGGAAATTACCTCCAAGTATTTGCTCCATCCTTATCAGCGAGGAACAAATAAGACCCAGACACGACCTGTCAGGGGTAAACAAATCTATGCTCTGTTCTTTTCTCTTGGCGTGGCGTCGTTACCGTCCCATGTAGTCGTAGCCGCCATCACTGAAACTAAGTTGATAAATTGTCAAGACTGTCAGCTATTTTGGCTAAATTTTGTAACATTGATTAGCTCCTTTCCTTTCAGAGTCAACATTTTTACTACTATTTTAAATTCTTTTCCTGTTTCATCTTTTTGGTTTTTATCTGTGGCCATTGTTTTCCGTGCACGGCCCCAAAATCTCTCTTAAAGAGAAGAAGGATACACGCCTGAACTTCGTTCGGCTTTAATTGTAAATGAGTTTTCGGCAAAGATGGGCCACTAATAACTGGTCAACCACCTCTTTCTACAATGGCTAATTAGTAATAAAAGGTCTATTAAATAATAGTTCTGCCACCATACTATTTATACACTCAATTTCTTAATCTCTTCCACCAATGCATTGGCATCATTTCCTCCTTCAGTCAACCCATTAACCAAATCAAACAACAAATCACGAGGATCTTCCAATCCAATAGACAACCGCAACAACTTCTTACTAATGTGATCATCACTCATTGCACGCCATTCAATCAAACTCTCAGCGCCACCTAAACTAGTGGCATGGTGAAATAATTTCAATTTCGATGGGAAAGATTTAGCATGCGCATCAGTATCCAATTCAATGGAAAACACTGGGGTGTGGCCATTTGGATATTGTTTAGCTATGAAATCATCAGTCTGTAATGATCCATGATAGATCTTGTCTAATTGCGGGAACTTGGCTTTATTCTCATTAAGGAACTGAACAATGGTTGCAACAGTTTTAGCTTGTCTGGCAACACGCAATTCAAATGTCCTTAAGCTTCTAACTAATAATGCACTTTCCAAATTGGCAATATTGGTACCAAGAACCAACCTGTCCAATAACAACTTCTCCTTAGTGGCTTGGTCTTTGACTAACAACAACCCAGCTAATAAATCAGAATGACCACCGAAAAACTTGGTGGCCGAATGCATAACTATATCAGCACCAAAATCAAATGGATTCAACAAAGGTGGTGGAGCAAAAGTCGCATCAACTGATAACAACGCCCCTTTTTCATGTGCTTTAGTGGCATACTTGGTGATATCGAAATAAGTACCGTATGGATTAACTGGAGTTTCCAAATGAACCAAATCACCAGCTTTAACAAGGGAGTAATCGCCATCATCAATATCAATCTCCTTGGTACCAAAATTACGTTTCCAAACATCAACAATGCCATGACATCCATGGTACGCTTGTCCAATAGCTACAGCCTTGGGGTTGACGTGAGTAATGAGTCCGTTGAATGCCGACAACCCGGAATTGTACACCACGGTGGGGTATCCGGTAATAGCTTCGACAATGGCTTCGACTTGAGCCGCATTGGGGTGATTCTCACGTGAGTAGACGAGTGTCGTGGGGTCGGTCAATCCTCCAGGGATCAATTCATCAGGGTTGGACGAGTAACTGTAGGTGGTTGTTATGTGGATTGGTGAAATGACGTCGTTGGTGGGTTTGACGTGGTCACCTCCATGGATTGATTTTGTTGAGAAATGAGACATTGTAGGTAAAGCAGTCTTTTTTTTCTTAGCAGCTGGTTCTTCTGAGTTGAGTCGTCGATGATTGATTGGGGTGAAAAAAGTGTGAACAATTGGGTGGGTTTATATAGTATGCCAAAGATAGATGGACCTGACTTCGGAGATTTGTTGAGTGCAAATTGTGAGTCTTTTTTTCTTTTTCTTTTGGTAGCTCTCTCATATTGTTCCTTAAAGTGAATAATCTCTAACTACGGTACGATTAAATCCGAAATTCGCATCGAATCCAATGCGCGCTAAGTTTTGCGTTTTGCTAATAAATGAGATTCTTTTTTGATCCCTTACGGCGTTTGAGAGTAAAATGACAAAAGCGATTCATTTCGAAGTAGCAGCAAAGGAGAGCCTTCTTTCTTTAACAGTGAAAACTAAGATTCAAACTAGCTTTACTATTCACAGCACTAGCACTAGATACTTCCCCCTAGTCTAATGAGCCAATTAATTGAACAAAGTATGTCCTCAAGTCTATCTTCTGTAGAGTGTACGTTGCATAATCGCTCATTCTAAATTCTCATCTGACTCTTTCACAAAGGTAAGGTACAAGCCTTGGTGTTTTTTTTTATTGGACTGCAGTTAATCCGTAACTTTTAGGGCATCAAGACCAATGCGCACTTTTATTTTGCGCTTTTAATACATGTATCCATACACACGGCGATTGCCACCAATCAACGAACAACGACACTCCAAATGCCTTAAGATTACTTCATCTACAACCTACAACAGCCCTATTCATAAAATAAGTTATTTAGATATCTAATTATTCTTTGTTCTATTTAGTTGCATGCTCACTGCGCCTCATTCTTCTTGCCATCCGACTAATCAAATAATAAATACATCCAATGAATCTAAACAACGCCATGAACGCCACCGTCCATAAAATTACCGTGAGGAAGATTTCCAGTCGCGTTGTTGTCGTTGTTGAATCAGTACTGTCATCAGTGGAAGAACTTCCATCCAATTGATTAAACCCACCCGTCTCCAACACAACGGCAACAATGACGAAATTGGAAATCATCCAAATGAGTACCGTCATTGATCGAATAAATGCATAATAATCTTCGGTGTTGACTTCAACTTGTTTTTCTGGTGGTGGTGCTGGATCGCGAATCTTTTCCAATTGGTTCAAATACGATTGATTGATTTCTTCTTTTAAAATGGGCACACTAACATCAAAAGTACCATCTTCACGTAATTTGGCTTCACCTAATGATTTACCACCCACATCACCCTTTGTACCCCATGACACATCATCGATATTACAAAAAGCATAAATATTGAGCACATTGATATACGATGGCGAAAGAAGCAAGTATTGAATGAATGACGTAAACATATGCCATGGCTCAAAGTATAAGAATGAAGCAAGGAAATATAATGCATAAGTTGATGCAGTAGCCACGATCAAGTCACGAAATTGGGCATTTTCAAAAAACAACAGGACGGAAAAACTTTGGTCTTTATAAATTTGTTGAATTGCATGAACAGCAAGGAAAATAGCGGCAAATATCATGTAGGCCATTAAAATGGCAAAGAAAATGACAATCACAATGTAGAATCGCTCGGTTCCCTTTGGCTTGTTACCAAAACTGAGAACAAACGTAGTGACAATGGAGGCTAAGTATAGCCAAAGGAAAATCACCGAAAGGACATTGCCGGGAGCAAAACTCAAATCTGAGTCGGATAATGATGTAGTCAAGATGCGAAAAACAAGGAAATACGATCCAATGGAAAACCACGACACAATCAAATTAATCAATTGATAGAAAAACTCAATATGCAAAAACATCTTGCGGCTAAATGAGTGAGAGCTTTTCCAAACTTTGAAAAAATGAACAAGCGAATAAATAGCCGCGAAAAAGGACCCATTAAGCCATCTTCTTCTTTGTAATATAAACTCAGCTAGCCCTTCAGGCACATCAGTTTCAGCTCTTGCTGCTTTGCAGTACCGCAACACCCAATTACATCCTTGTTTAGCCACCAATTCAAAACACAAGATCCTGTCTTCGGCCAAGTACATATTAGAAGTGAAAATACCTGCTTCTTCTTTAAGTAATGTCCGTTTCAATTCATATTCATCGTCTTGAGGATCCAATTCACCTGAAGAATGGAGAAACTCACCTTTGAAATATTTTTCCAATGGGCCGCGTCCATTTATATCATTTTGCAAAGCAATGTTTCTATATGCTGAAAATGCCCCTGGCAACACTGATATAAATCCAAATGACGATTCGGTGGGTTTATCTAAAATGTTGGAAATCTTGTATTCGAAATTTTGTCCGTATACTAATGGATTAGTTATCATTTGTCTTTTTTTCAACGAGGCAATGATTTCTCCACAGGCACCAGCGACTCGATGGTCATTGTCAAATTCTTTCCATAGCTTGTACAATGATTTTCCCGTTGGCTGGGTACCACAATCTAATAATACGACAATCTTAGGATCCAAAACTTGTCCAATTGCTTGGAAACACCACCGATGAGAATTAATCTTTTTAGCATTAGTTTCCTTTAGGCAAAATAACATTTGTACGGGGACAATTTTTTCAGTAGTCAATTTGACAACGTCATCGGAAACAGAACTAATGCCTACCCTAGTGGTATATTCATACATGTGAGCTTGCACTTTTTTATCATCAACTCTGCTTTTAGCCAACCCTTCTTGATAAACACCCAACCCGGCCAACAATGCTTGTGCACGTTCATTGATCTTGGTTCGACCATCACTAACTATGCAAACGACAATTTTTTTCCAGGAATCTTTACCCCATGTCGATGATCGTGATTTTGACTCAAGATATTTTATATTTTTGAAAACACCTTTCAAAGTTCTTCCTAATAATATGTCATCTTCATTATACATAGTTATCACAATCATCATTTCTGTTTGTCTTGGTATAGGATAGTGTACCGGTCTTAGGATATAGGCATCACGGTAAAAATTTGACGGACCACATGTGACAGCAGTGTATCTCATAAATGCAAATTCTCGTGACAATCCACCATCTTTTTCATCAGGGTTGTAGTCGGGGAATTTAGATAATAGCTCATCTGCAACAGGACAATCAAGTACCAAATGACCATTGATACCTGATGCACGAATGGGTTTCTTTGCCCGAACTTCTTCTTCGTCAGGTGGTTGTTGGAAATCGACATTATCACCAAAAGGACTATCGGGGACCTCTTCGTGTTCTTCATCAATTAAATTTCCAACAGGGACAGGCACAAAGTCAGGTTGTGCATCATCATCAACATAACTGGCAGTGGCCAAGTCGTAATGATCACCTTCAAATTGGTTGTACTGTATTCTTTGATCAAATTCTCTTTCTTCTTGATCATCATCGGAGTAAGCATGAGGAACAAATGCGTGGTTGTAGTTGGCATTGTATCCTTGGTATTGCATTTCGTAGTCTTCTTGAAATGGATCACCTTGTACTTGTGGTGGGGCATTGAAAATAGGTTGGTTGTAGTAATCTTCATGAAGGGAAGTAGTCGACTGGTTCTGTTGGTATATAGGTGGAGGTACCGGCTCAGCAAAGTTTACTGAGTTTGATGAAGTATTGTTCTGGTGGTGGTGGTTGTTGATGTATGCCCCTTGAGTCAAGGGAGTATTACTCATATGACTAACATTGTGATCCAAGAATTCTAAAGACAGGTTATCATCTTCATCGTAATCATCTGAGGGCATCCTATATAGGTTTGAATTGGTGTTATTGTAATTGGGGTGCAAGTGGTTGGGATCACCATTTGTTCTNGGGGGAGTTATGAGACGGTAAATAGGAAGTGCAAGTAAGTAGTAACTTGTAGTAGTAGTAGTAGTAGTAGTAGTAGGTGTTTGAAAAGATATCTGGTGGTATATATAGATTCAATCTATTATTTCAATCTATTGCCCCTTGTGTGTTGATTGATTGATTGATTGATATATATAGATATATAGATATAAAATTTTCAGTGTGTGTTGTAAAGTGCGCGTGTTTTAAATTTAGAAATGATGTACTACAATAATTATGTGTGTATGGATGTAATAGTTTGTTTACATTTTTTATTATTTTTGTGTAATTTTGGTCAGATCGTTTTTTTTATTTTTTTTAACTTTGTTTGATTTTTGTCTCAGCCTCAGAGGGATACGGGACAGGGTGAAGAGTATTGTCATATTTCATTATTCTACGACGTTCAGAGTCCCTGGATAGTACTTCATTAAGATACATATATACCACGGAGGGAGAGAGAGAGAGAGAGAGAGAGAAAGAGAAGAAATGCAAAACATCTGGACATGTAGCAAAATGTGCCAAGGGACCCTCAATCATCAAAAAGTTAGTGATGATGATGTTTGTTCTGATTGTCTTTTTTCTTTGTACCTAAGCCAATTTTTGCGTCATGCATCATTCCTCGGCTCCCCCTTCCAGATTTATAAAAAGGGCGAAGTTTCTAAAACAAATTGTTTGTGAGTGAGTGTCATCAAAAAAATTATGAAATGCTAATTTTTACGACATATAATTTTTTCACGACAACCTCACGTGCCGTCTATTAAATTACACAAACTCAATGTCATATATGCTCTTTAGTGCTTTTTTTGCAATCTTGAGACAAAACATCACCTCACACACTTTCTTTTAGTTGTGGTAAATCCATAACAATGTCTTTTCTTTTCTTTATTTATCTTGCAGCCAGTAAATCACCCAATCGGATAATTACTTTATGACACCATGTAAACACACTGCATGGATATGCTTTCTTAGCTTTTCTTTTCTTTCTCAACGTCAGAACTTACATCAGCTTGCATCCTAGTCATTTACAACCTTATTTCCTGTAGATTAGTCATTCAATACCGTTTATTTTCTTTTCTTTTTATCTAAAGTTTCTTTTTGAATTATTCTCTTTCAGAAATATGGTAACTATATTATCTAACGAGTTTGAATGAGGACCAAAAAAGAATAGTGACACCATCTTGAGTCTGCTTTTAACCAGTTTCTATAAAAACCAATTCAAATTGCTTATATTCTAACCAACCAGAACTCCATAAAAGTATACTTCTAACCAACATGTTTAATAAAATTCAAACGTATTTATTGCAACGTATATTTGAAGACTTGGACCCTAGTCTATTTCAATCAATTGACTACCCACTACTGTCCAATGCAACAACAATTTCGACTACATTATCATTAACAGGAAAAAATGTACATGCTACGCCACCGCTGCTTTCACTTGCAAACCAAGGTGGGTCACAATCACAAGTACAGCTGGGTTCGGGAACTGCAATTATTGAATCATTTGTTGACGAGAAGAAGGTGAAAAGACATAAGGCATCAACTGGGCAATTTAAAAATCAAATCAATGTCTATAATGAGATTATCCATATGATAAATTCCCAGCAGTTTCAGTTGAATGATGATAATTATCAAATAGTAGTATTGTACTTTGAGTACTATGTTTTATATATCAATAACAGTAACAGTAGAGATAAAGAAGATAATCCAAGAAGACAGATTCTCAATTACATCGACCATATCCTCACTTCATTAGATACCATATCATCAAACAAAACTATACATGAAATCAACAAGGTCCTACACAATTTCAACCCCACGAGAACTTTGTCCCAACTTGATGAAATCTTTTCTGACTTCACCTATTTCATCAACCAATTCAAGTTTAATATAACTAAATCTACATTACTCCATGCCCTTTCTTTGACTTTTGCCTATGAAGTATTCCAATACCCTGTCATGGCTAACAAGATTAATAATAATAGTAAATTGACCAATGTAAAACAACAACAACAACAAAAACAACAAAAACAAAAACAAGAGGAAGATTGTCGGTTGTTGATTCAATTTTCACGATTTTACTTTATTAGTGCGTTATTGAATTTTAATAAGTATAAATCAGGCAAATTTGTGGCTCTTGATGAAGTTGTCAAAGAATTCTGTGCAACTGAGTTTGATAAAGTTGTGGGAGAAGCTAAAGCAGAAGTAGAAGGAGGAGCTAGTGATGGTAAAAGCAGAAAGGAGGGTGACAAAGAAGATGGCAATTTAAAATCAACCAATGGTAATGGCAAGGTTGGAAATAATTTTGATGATCGATTGATACAATTGTATAATGCTGGCTCATTGGCTGAATTAAGAAGTGATGAAATTATTCTTCTGTTTCAAGAAGCAATGAAGGAATATAAATTTAGAAGGAGACATTTAACCCAAGTATAACAACAACAAAAGACATAAAACACTGTTATTGGTGTACACAAGACAATACTATGCATACATACACTATTACTTTGTGAGTCTCAGCATTTCATTCTGTTTATAGCAGTAAGTTTCTAGTAAAAATAGAAAAGTTTCCAAATTTGGGAATAAAGTTACTTCCGGAACAATACGGAGATAACTCTTGGAGTTAATCCGATTTTTAAAGTTGTCAAACGCCTTAAACAACAACACACACACACACACACTCTCTCTCTTTCTCTCACTCTCTCATCGTATCAATAACTTAGAAGAGAGAAAACAAAAGAAAAAAAAGAAGAATGCTAGTGGCAAAGACAATCCTCCAACTGATACCTTATAGGAAGCATTGGGTATGATATGAGGTTTTATCCACTGGCTTATCACGAGTTGCTTGGCAAAATTTGTAATCAAATCCTTTCCTCTCTTTTCCCCCTGTTGTTCGTACAATTGCACAGTTTGGGGCAATAGTTCGGTGTTTTGTAGTCTGTGTGTTCTCCACATTTACCTTTACCTTTCACTTATCGGTTGTTTGTACCCCTTTCGCTCCATTCTTCTTTCCTTTCCTTCTAATATCCGTTTTGCGCCGCATAGGCACCTTTTCAGCCGTTTATGTATACTGCATATAGGTGCACGCACCGGATGTAGCAAGCATTAAAACAATAGAAAAACCGGATTTTTACTTTTTTAGTTCGGACGTTTTGTTCTTCGGCCGAACTACCAAATAGCATTAATGAAAGAACACAAAGACCAAATTTTGTATTAGTAACAACAGTAGTTCTTGGAACAATGGCAAAGTTTCGGCAGTTTCCTAATGGGGGTAATCAAGGATTGTGCTACAGAAGCCACTGCAAAAGCCGTATACGCTTTAGGGACAATAGTGAGGTTGTTGTGGCTGTTTTTTGTTTTTCTTTTTTTTTGACTCATAAACACCGAAGACCCAAAACAAAAACTATGCTCAGCTGTAGTAGTTGTGGTATTCGGATACCCGTTCAAAACAATTACAAGGACATAAGACATTACACAAAGGGTAATAAGGCATCGCTTCTAAGAAGGAGTTAACTATTTTAAAAGAACAAAAAATGAATTTGATTATATAAATACCACCCACCCCCCAAGAGCCTCTTTAACATATCTCCAACTTCAAGCTAAAAACTTTTCAACTTCTATTAATCAATATCATCTTCCTTAATTCAACAATCACCAGCACCAAATTTTAATAGAAAGTAATTGAGACAAAAGAATGAAGCAATTTGTTACAGATTCATTTGTTGGTCAAATCTTGTATCGTTTATCAGGAAGAAAGATATTTTTACACCGTGATGAATTACCTGATTATGTCATTCCAGAAAAGTACTTGGTGAATAATGATAAAAAACCAGAATATGAATTCCCATCAGAAGAAAGGGGAGAAGAGAACAACAACAACAGCGACAACATAGACAATATAGTTGCTAATGACGCCGCTGATGATGAAAACAAGGAGAAACAACAGGATGTAAATACAGATAGTGCCTCAGACACAAGCAAAACATCTACTGCCACACCAGATCCCAAATCAGATTACATCATAGTAACATGGGATGGCGATGATGACCCTGATAACCCGTACAATTGGCCATTTTACATCAAGGCCATCATGGCCTTCCAAATTGCCTTTTTAACCGTTTCAGTATACATGGGATCAGCAATCTATACCCCAGGAGTTGCCGATATAATGGAGAAATTCAACATCAATGAAACTAAAGCAGTATTACCGTTGACTATGTTTGTCATCGGTTATGGTATTGGGCCCATTTTTTTCAGTCCATTGAGTGAAGACTCACGAATTGGAAGAACTCCCTTGTACATTATTACCTTGTTTATTTTCTGCATCATGCAAATCCCCACAGCTTTATCGACTAGTCTTGCTGGGATGACTGTGTTGCGTTTAATTGCTGGGTTTTTCGCTAGTCCCGCATTGAGTACCGGTGGTGCATCTTTTGGTGATTTCATCACATTACCTTATTTTGTCGTGGGTTTAGCTACTTGGTCATTGGGTGCTGTTTGTGGACCCAGTGTTGGTCCTTTGATTGGCTCGGTATTGGTGCAAAGAGGGGGGCACAATGGGTATGAAAGTTGGCGGTGGACGTTTTGGTTTATGGCTTTGATTTCATCGTGTTTTTTGGTTCTTGGCTGGACATTACCAGAAACTTTTGCCCCTAAATTGTTGCGTCAAAAGGCTGCCAGATTGAGAAAATTGACAGGTAATGACAAGATCGTATCTCAAGCGGAATTAGATCATGGCTCATCAACTACTGGTCAAGTTGTACGTAAATTGTTTTGGCGCCCCTTTGAAATCACAATCACCGAACCAGTCGTTTTGTTAATTGGAATTTACATTGCCCTTGTTTACAGCATCCTATACTTGTTTTTCGAAGCTGTTCCCATTGTGTTCCAAGAAACTAAACACTTTACTTTGGTTGAAATGGGAGTCACTTATCTTTCGGTGGTTATTGGAATTTTCATTGGTGGATCCATCTACATTCCCTATGTCTACAAAGTCTTTACCAAGAGACTACTAGCTGGGGAATACGATAAGGTCACTCCCGAGATTTTCTTGCCTCCAGCTATACTAGGAGCCATATTTATGCCTATTGGATTATTCATATTTGGTTGGACATCATCACCCAAGATCCATTGGTTCCCACCATTGATTGGAATTGGCCTTTTCGCCATTGGTGCATTCATCATTTTCCAGACATTGTTCAATTATATGGCAGCTAGTTTCAAAGTTGAATACTTGGCTTCGGTGTTTTCGTCAAATGCATTTTTCAGAAGTGTTGTTGCTGGTGCTTTCCCTCTTTTCGGAAGAGCCTTGTTTATCAATTTGAGTATTCATGATTTCCCTGTCGGGTGGGGTACTACAATATTGGCATTCTTGTGTATGTTGATGATTCTAATCCCCGTGTTTTTCTACTTGAATGGTCCTAAGTTGAGAGCTAGGTCAAAGTATGCCAACCATTAAGGGGAGATATATATATATATATATATATATATAGAAGAGGATTCACCTATTTATCCAGGGTTACCTTTCCTTTGTTTTGTGTATATAACTAGTGAGTTGAGTTAATTAATAGATATCTATATGAATGAAAGAAGTAATGGCAATGTAGTTGTGACTGTTGGAGACACTCTTTGACATATTTTTATGTTGATTTACAATAGACAGATGTAACTTATATACGAACGGATCCTCTTGATCAAAAATCATTTCACTTTGACTGGATATTCTTTGATTCAGTGCTTTGCAGTGTCCTTCTCTCTTTTTGGCTTTTTCTCATCAGCAGCCTTCTTTTTATCTTTAGGTTTACCTTTTTGTTTTTCTTTTTCTTTCCCCTTTGCATCACTTGCTTTCTTCTCCTTGACTGTCTCATCCTTATTCTTCTTCTTCTTCTTCTTTTCTTCATCTTGCTTCACAGCAACACTATAATCATAAGGTTTACCTGTGGACCAAATAAACCACAACAATAAAATTTCCACCAACGAAAGCGCCAACCATTTCACTTCATAAGTTTCCATCAATTTACCAACCTGACCCAACAATTCACCCACGTCAAATACGCCACTAAAATTCAAGCGAACAAAAGCTACATAAACCGATTGTTTACCAAATGATGTCCAAGCAATTAAATGAAGCAAAACGGTGGAAATCATCGGTTTAGCCAATTTGGGGAACTTTCTCAATTTCCAAGCAAAATAAACCCCAGAAACAAACCTCAGAACCTGCATCACAAAGCCACAAATTATTTGAGCTTGTGTACCATAATTGAAAATGTACTTGAGTAAATCAGAATTTTGGTTAATGACTATATTGGCGTAAAACTCATTGACCAAGATTGATTTCTTGAAAATCAGATAATGTTCATTGTTAATGGAAACCCCCGTGATGGGAATGGGGAAATTGACACAGTTGTCAACAATGACAACCGAAACGAGGTTAATGATGAATGCAACTTGGAAAATATACTTTAATATGGTGTTGGGACAATTGACGTATCCTAATCCAAAATAAACTTGCGAAATGATAAACTTTTGCCATTTATTCAACAAAATGTTGGCAAAATAACCAAAGTAATCTTCAGTAAAAGTGTAGATGAAGTCATTGGGAACAAATAAATAAATTAATCGAAGTGCTAATTGAATCATTGTGAATCCAACATAGACAATCAACAATTGCGTCAATTGTTGAATCACGGGTGGTAACTTGGTAAATTTCCTGGCTCGAATTGCCGGATACAAATAGCTCAACCCAACCAATATCGAACCAAACATAATGGCAATGTTAACCAGGACAGAAATATCATGGAAAACACTAACGGGAGAAAACTCCTCCACCGTCAACTGGGCTTGGTAATTGGTTGGAAGGATGGTGTTCCAATCCAATGTATACAATGGCATATAGATACAATAAGTGCCCGGTTGCTTCACATCATAACGAATCAACGTCTCATTAGTAATGACTTTATACCAAACCAGTTCCGGTAAAGATTGACCCAGTTTCAGCACTAACTGGAAATTGAAATCAACCTGCTTCGTTTCTTCATCAATCGTAATTAATCGTTGCATTTCATCTGGCTCATTAAGATAAGTATGATTTAAAAATGAGTTGAAATTGGGCAAGTTTTTGAATTTGGGTAAATCACGATAGTTGAAAATCATCACTGGTATTGATTCATTGAGTCGAGCATTATCAAATTCAATTTCAAAATGGGTATGTGCCGTATCGTTGGCATATAAACATACGGCATTGTTTTGATAGTTGAAGAAAACCGTACGATATGGAGTGGTTGACTTGACAGGGGGGTAAGCTCTGGCCCATATCAATGGTAAGAACTGGACAATAAGTAAGAATAGAAGTTGATTGACGTTCATATTTGGATCAAAGCATATAGCAAAAATGAGGGAATTGGTGAAACTATCTGTGGTTGGGCTATTTAAATAATCGCAAAGCCTTCTTAATCTTCTTCTTCTTCTTCTTCTTCTTCCTTTTGCTGCTGCTGTTGCATTTAGTTAAAGTTGACACGTCGTTGGAAAAATCTTGGTATTTATTCACTACTGTGGGTAGATTATTCGTGTGAGCATTTTAGCGCCTTACAAAGTTTTGTGTCACCTGAACTGTCAGAATTGCACGATAGTTGCATAAACGACGACAAAGTACACGACACCACTACCAAAGCACCGATGGATTCCATAGGCGCTCAGTTTGGTTTATGGACTTACTTACTTGGTTTGATATTTTACTGTCACGAGGATTCAACGTCTTTTGCGCACCTTTGCATCTTATAGCAATCTTGTCTTTTGCTAGTGCCGTTTGAATACATGGACTGATCTTTCAGTTTAAACAAAAATACTGTGTGAGATTAATAAAGTAGTTGAAAATTTTACTAATGTTGGTACTATTCAATCAACAACAGTTTGCCTTTTTGGCGATGTTGTGGTGATGTAGACTGGTTTGGGAGGATTTAATACTTTTTTTGTCTCAAATTTGCAGCAAAAATAATAATAGTAGAGTCTACAATCAACGCCATAAGTTGCAACAGTATTTCTTACCATCATCTATAAACAGTACTTGTCTAGATTGGATATATACATCTATTGAAACAATGAACCTTCACTCTGAGCATTATATCTCAACCCCTTGACCGGGTTCTCCTTCAAAATCGTATCAATTGTCGTCAAATCATCATCAGTCAATTCAATAAAATTACCAAAGTTCAACTCAACTCGTTTAATAGTCGACCCCGAAGGAATAGGTAAAATTCTCGTAACTTTATCAATTCCTTTATAACTGTGGTGTCCTGAAATTTTCAAAATCCAAGAAAGAGCCAAACTCTCTAAACTTGTATGTTTCACATCATGGGCAAAGGCATAAAGTTTCTTCAAGGCGACTAAATTATGAGCGAAGTTGTCGGGTTGGAATTTATCCAATGAATGTTTGAAATGGCCCTCAGGGATTTCTGAAAGAAAACTATCGGCGTGTTCAACACAATAATCGGTCAAGATCCCTCTGCATAATGGTGAATATGCAATAATGGGGATTTGCTTGTTGGAAAGAAATGATAATATGCCATTGTCGATCAAATCTTGCGAAAATAATGAAAGTTCCAATTCAACACAGGATATTGGTGCTATTGATGTTGCCTTCTCAATGGACTTGATCCCAACTTCGGATAATGAAATCCCATCGATGGTTCCATTGTCCACGTATTGTTTGATATAGCTGATGGTATCTTCATAAGGAACTTGAGGGTCAACTCTAGCGGCTTCGAAAATCAACTTAGGTCCCCGAGCATTACCTTTTTTGGGGAAATATGAAGCAACATTTTCAATTGATTTACTGATGTATTCTTTACTCCCATTAGGCTTTAAAATAGTCATGTCTATTCCACCCTTGATGGAAATTATCAAAGATTCATTAATGGTGGCATCATTGGTGGATAAAAATTGTTGCAATAGTTTCAAATTAGCATCATTGGGCCCATAAAATTCGCCTCCATTGAGAAGTTTAACGCCGTATTCCTGATGAGAAGTAACGTATTTTAAAGTGTCGATGGATTGTTGAATTGGTGGTGGTTGCGATGTCCATGTCATTGACATGGTACCGAATCCGAATCTGCCGGGAATTTCAATTGGTTGCGGAGTCATAGTTAATGAGAAGGTGATACTGGAATGCTTTTCTGTGGGGAGGAGGAAGTTGAGTTGTGGGATTTGCTGTGCTACTTATATATATATATAGTCAGCAATTGTTGTGAGGAGGCTTTTGCCAACTTTTCAACTTTTTGCAAATGAAATTCTCGCTCATTACCCAATTGGGAAGTATACCCGTTGCACGCTGTTTCATCAGTTTCGAAATGCAATGCAATTCAACAAATCATTATGCCCGTCGTACTCGGCCGCTGGTGTTCAAACACGGGTGCGGGTATGAGAAAAATAGTGGATTCTACGGCGATAAGCAAGGTACTCTTTTGCCGAATGGTCCACAGTCATCGATGGGGCTTTCCATCTTTCCGCCGGAGACGAGTACAGCAACGCTTATAGAGACAGGGTACATCTATTCAATTTCACAGCACCTACAGGAAACCAACCATAGTTCATTTTATGAAGCTTAATCTATTAACATTTGCTACTTCTCTTTCCTAAAGCCTACTCCTCTTAACTCAGAAGTAAAAAACCCTCTCCTTATCCCAGTCCAATTCATCAAGTAACCCATTAACATGGCTCTTCATAGCCGGCGGACCCGACATCAATATCTTGGAGTTGTCTTTATCAAACATATTGCTAATCATTTCCTTAGTCACATATCCAACGCCACCGGTCCAATCATCACTAGGATTATCCACGGTATAATAAACGGACAATTTGGGATACTTTTCGGCGATTGAGTCCAATTCCAGCTTCAATAATAACTGGTTCGGAGTCTGACAAGCAAAAATCAACTTCAATTCGGTTTCGTCTTCAGGATTAGTGATTACACGAGTTATCACTTGCAAGATTGGCGTTATACCAGTTCCACCCGCAATCAATCCCAATTTTTTGGCCTCATTGGGCTTATAGTCTAATGTCCCCACGGGTCCTCTAAATTTAACAGTCTGGCCAATTTGTACCGAGGCCAATTTCTTGGTAACTTTCCCTTGAGGATAATGCTTGACCAAAATATCAAAAAACCCCGAATCAAATTGGTTTGAAATAGGCGAGTAATATCGTAATTCATCCTTGCCATCAATGGTAAACACACACGATAAATGATGGCCAGTGGGGATATCCAATACTTCGTCATCACGACCTAATTTGAACCGATAAATCGCCGTCAAGGGAGCAATCATGGTGCGATCAATCAATTCAAAATCACGCCATATAGTTTGGTCCATGGATGAACGGCGCTGTGTTGCTAAGTAATATTGAATCGAACATATGACAACAATGAATGCAATGGTGTAGGGCATGTACGACCAACTGAATAGCCAGGTGCCAAATAGGAGTAAGCCGACGGGGATGACTATTCCGTGAAGTGGATTACCTAGTAATTTCCTTTTGTCGTCGTTGTCTGCCATTTTTGTCGTTGTTGTGTTGGTAGTAGTTTGAATAGCAGCAGCTGTAAAAGGAAATGTAAATGTCAAATTTTAGTGATGGGCAAATTATTCACGAGGCAGAAAAAAAATATCAACACTGTTTTATATTATTGTGTTCCAGCTTTTTTATACCCGAGATATAACCGTAGACCAACAACTGCAACTACTAGAGTCATTCACCCAACCAAACACTCAAATACATCAACAAAAAGTAAAATCTTTAATCCAATAAACACTATACAGACTGTACAAAAAAACAGAAAGCATAAATTAACAAAAAAGTGGGTATATAAAAATTAGAAATAGAGATGAAGCAACAACACACCATAAGATACACTAACTAGCTAGAGATAGACAAAAAGAAGATTCTCCTCTTTGCTCCAACTAATATTCTTCTTCCTCCTCTGGGAAAGAGTCAGTACCAACTTCAACGTAATCTCTTTCCAAGGCAGCCAAATCTTCTCTAGCTTCAGTAAATTCTCCTTCTTCCATACCTTCTCCAACATACCAATGAACAAAAGCTCTCTTGGAATACATCAAATCAAACTTTTTATCAATTCTTCTCCAAGCTTCAGCAATAGCAGTGGTGTTAGACAACATACAAACAGCTCTGGAAGCACCAGCCAATTCACTGCCTTGAATGGCAGTTGGTGGTTGATAACAAATACCAATTTTGAATCCAGTAGGACACCAGTCAACCAATTGGACAGTCTTTTTCGATTTGACTTGAGCAACGGCATTTTGCACATCACGAGTAACAACATCACCTCTGTATAACAAACAAGTGGCCATATATTTACCCATTCTTGGATCACATTTAACCATTTGGTTACCTGGTTCAAAGCAAGATTGAGTGATTTCCGAAACTGAATTTGCTTCATGGTTAGCTCTTTGTTTCGAGAAAACAGGGGCGTAACTAACCAATGGGAAATGGATTCTTGGATATGGAACCAAGTTGGTTTGGAATTCATTCAAATCAACATTCAACGATCCATCAAATCTCAAAGAAGCAGTTACTGACGAAACAACCTGGGCAATTAGATTGTTTAATGAACTGAAATTTGGACGAGTAATGTCCAAGTTTTTACGACACATTTCATAAATGGCTTCATTGTCAACCATAAATGTACAATCAGCATGTTCCAAAGTTGTATGAGTAGTCAAGACGGTATTATAAGGCTCAACGACTGATGTTGAAACTTGTGGTGCTGGGTAAACGGCAAATTCTAATTTAGATTTCTTACCATAATCCAAAGATAATTGTTCCAATAATAAAGATCCCAACCCTGAACCGGTACCACCTCCCAATGAATGAGTAAACAAGAACCCTTGTAATCCATCACATTGATCACTCATTCTTCTAACTCTATCTAAAACATCATCCAAAATCTCTCTTCCAACTGTATAATGACCACGAGCATAATTGTTAGCGGCATCTTCTTTACCAGCAATCAATTGTTCAGGATGGAACAAGTCCTTGTATATACCAGTTCTCACTTCATCAATGACATTTGGTTCTAAATCAACGTATAATGCACGAGGAACATATTTTCCTGATCCAGTTTCACTGAAAAAGGTGGCAAATCCTTCTTCACCTCCCTTGGGTCTGTCTAAACCTTCTTGTAAATATCCATCTGGTCTGATTCCGTGCTCTTGGGAGTATAGTTCCCAACATGCGTTACCAATTTGACAACCTGCTTGTCCGACTACAATTGTTTAGCTTGTTAGTATAATTAAAAAAAAAATGACGCGCTTTTTGAAGGGGAAGCAGCATAACATGAACCAGCACACACAAGAGGGGGACCACTAGAAACTGTGTGCGCGTCTGTGATATAACCCAAGTAGATTAGTAGTAGATGGTCCAACAGATGCAGCGGTATTTGATTGGCCATTAGATTATATACTTGTGCAAAGTGTAACCCTTATCTTGTTTCTTCGTGTTTCAAACTGGAAACACACACACACAATTTCTTTCTGCTGCTGTTCATGAAATACGCCATCCTTTGATCATATATATATATATATATCTGTGCAACATACCGTTAATACTGATAACTTCTCTCATTGCTTGTACTTGATTGTAATTATCTGTAATGAATATGAAACGTAAGAGAAGTTTGTAAAACTAAATTTTGAGTTTGATCTGTTGTATGTGTATTGTTGTTGTTTGGGGGTGTGTCTGTTTGACCAAAAAAAAAATTTGTTTTTTGTTTACACTTTACGTAATACATTACATAATATACCTAATTAGGCAATCATATATGCAAATCGTATGCAATTACTATTTGCAATATCAAACAAAAATAGACGATTAAACAACAACTGTTTACTCATTCTTTCTTTCTACAATTCACTATTCACTCAAAATCATACTTGCTTTCTCATTAGAACTTCTTCTATACAGTGCAAAAATCTACTGAAACAAGGCACCCAATAATCAACCAACCACCTTTACCAGTCTCACCATTTGAATCCCAAAAATGATTTAACATGTTGTACTATTCCTTCAGGATGACGCTTCAATCCCAACTTCTCTTCCAACACTTCACTAATTGGCCTTTCCCACTTCAATGACTTGTATCCATTAAACAACTTATTTTGAGCTTCAGCCAATGTCAACAACTCCTTACGATTCAAACTTGATAACCAATTGTAATTATATCCAAATGACCGCAAATAAGACTTCAAATCAGCATTGGAATATGTCTTGACTATGCTGTCCCATTTGTCACTAAATTCATCTTTGGCCACTTCTGCTGCACCATAAAGCTTATTATTGAAAAGTCCCAAGTGGTACAAGACGGAGCGATATTGATTCTTTAACCAATCTTGGAAAACGGGCGTATACTTGACATAATTCTTTTGAGTTGATTTCCAAGCATCTTTGGATGCAGTTTGAATCTTTTCACCAGCATCCTTGGTCAATTCACTTGCCTTTTGTCCATATTCAACTGCCAATTCTCCAGCCAACTTTGAATACTCATCATATCTCTTACCAGCTTCTTTCGATGCCAGGGTATATTGTTTAGCTGCTTCTTTTGAGGCTTTATCCAATGCCTTCAAAGCTTCATCGGAATATTCATCATACTTCTTTCCCGTCAACTTGTAAAACTCATCATATCTTTTAGAAGCTTCCTTTGAAGCAACTTGATACTGCTCATAAGCTTGTTTACTAAAGTCATCGGAATACTCATCATACTTTACTTTAGCTTTAGCACCAACGTCGCTAGCCCATGCACCAAGTGCCGCAGCATACCTGGCATACTTCTCAGAAGCATCCTTAGCAGCAATTTCATATTGCTTACCTGCTTCTTTATACCAATCGTCAGCTTTCGTTGAAGCTTCTTTAGACCACTCATTATATTTCTTACCGGCGAGTTTGCTATATTCAGCATACTTGGCATTGGCAACTTTAATTGCCGCTTCATACTGCTTAGCAGCTTCTGCTGACAATTCATTAGCCTTTTTATTAGCAGATTTCGAATATTCACTAAATTGCTTATTGGCAAGCTTGGACAATCCTTGATACTTTTTATCAGCCAACTTCTTGTATTCCTCGTATCTCTTGGCTGCTTCTGCTGATGCCAATTCATATTGCTTTCCCGCTTCCTTTTTAGCATCGTTGGTAGCATCACTGGCAATAGCAGCATATTCATCATACTTTTTACTAGCTTCTGCTGCTGCTGTTTCATATTGCTTTCCTGCATTTCCAAGTAAAACTTCCAAATTATCATTCACCAATTTCGAATACTCTTCATACTGCTTATTGGCCTCTTCAACAGCACGTTCATAACTCTTACCAGCAGCTTCAGAAACAGCGTCAGATTGTTTATTGAAAAGCTTCTTGTATTGGTCATACTTGTAATTGGCGTCTTTGGCCAAATCTTCATACTGTTTTCCAGCCTTTTTGGTCAGGTCATCAACCGAATCATCAACACTACTTAAATACTCTTCGTATAAATCCTTGGCGTGTTGGGCGTATTCATCATACTTCTTGGCCACAGCTTCATACTGGTCATTAGCATTTTCTAAAATAGCTTGCCCGCCTTTATCCTTTCCACCTCGTTGAAACCATGAAGAAGATTTGCTTTCCTTACCAAGCAAAGTTTTCTCAATATTTTTCCAATCTCTAATCAATGCTCCAATTGTTTCTCTAGCGTATTGATTACTAGCTAATTTAGCATCATAAACCAAGTTGGAAAATTTTTCTTCGTCATTATTTACCTCACCCAAAAGACGGCCAGCATACTCGTAGCCTTCATTTTGAATCTCTTGCAATGCTTCTTCAACTGAATATTCAGCTTGTTTCAATTCATCACGGGCAACTTCAGTTGCTTTTTGAAAGTATTCTTGAACAATAATAAATGCCTTTTTCAACTTGTCCTCACCAACGGTTTCAGCATCAACAACATTTCTAGTTAAATAGTGTTTAAAACCTTCCAAATCGGGTTTGTATAATCTAATTTGTGAATCGATATTTTCTTTACCGGAGCCGTGACTTTTAAATTGCTTTTGGAACGCCGCAATCAAATCTTGTCTTGACCCATCAACATTTTGCCCTTGCTCACGTAACCATTCTTTGATTGAATTGGTTGATATGTCATTATCAACAATATAAGCATCGGCTTCAACATGGATTGGGTCACCTTTATGTTCTTTAACCAATTCCACCAATTGTTGTCTAGTCGTGAAAATGGAATATGGCACTTTACGCACATTCAAGAATTCGCGCAATTTATCCTTTGACCAGTTTTCAATACCAACAAAAAACGTATCGTTGATCAAGTTCTTAGCGCCTCTGCCGCCTTTGCCAGATTCGCCTTTTGATAACCACGGCTCACTCTTTTTTTCCGAATGTTTTAACCAAGTCTGAATATCATCGAGCAAATAACTCTTGTATGTTTGAGCCTTTTTGATTAGAGTTTCTTTATCCAAGTCACCAACCCATACATCAGGTTTGGCATTGATAAACCCATGTAAATACAACCATTCACGTAATTGCGAATAGGACCAAGATTCAAAAAATTCATCTCTAATCTGGCCACCTTTATCAAAAACAGACTTGTCAAACAAGTCCAAAGAATCAAATAATGCATCTTTGGTATCGATAATATCATTAGTAGCCTTGTAGTTGTACTCTTTAACTTTTTCCACCAAGTTATTCTTTGATGCGTTTTTATCAAATTCAATTTTATAATTACTTAACCAATTTTTCAACTCGTCTTCTGACCATGAATCATATAACCAATCACCAGGATAAAAGTTTGATCCTTTATTCTTTTTAGCAATGGAGCTGAATTTACTCTTGAGGGTTTTCAATAAATCACTTTTGTTGGCCTTTTCATCAATTTTCACTCCATGATGTTTCAAAAACTTGGTTAATGAATCAAAGTCCCAACTTTCAAAAAACCAATCCAGAATTGGTTTCTTCTCCTTTGAAGAGCCAAATAAGTAACTAAAACTTAAATAATCTTCTAAATTGTGTCTCTTCGGTTTCAATTGTTTATCCAATTCATTCTTCAATTTATTATATCCATTCTCCAATTTTTTAGCTTCAATATTGGCAACTTCAATCAATTGGGCATTGTCCCATTTGGAATCTTGTTTAATCTTGTTGTCCTGTAAGAATTGTCTTAAGTCATTGTTACTCCATTCTTCAAAACCATAATTGGCATGAACCAATTGAACGAATATGCAAGCTAACCAAATAAATCTCATTGTGTTTTTGTCTTTACCAATTGGGTGCAGATAAGGATGAGATTTAAGCTTTTGAGGTTGAACTTTGATAATGTCGAGAAAAATGGAAATTGAATACTTTTCGAGGAGTATTTAAACTGTGGGCTGGAAAGGAAAGGAAAAGGGTCATTTAGTAGCAACTTTATGGAAAATGACTTGGTAGCAATTTTAAATTGTTTAAGGGGTTATGCATATGACCCATCTGACTAACCCCCCATCACTGTATTCCAAGCGAGAAAACATGTAACACAACCAACAATGCTTTACACTACAATGGAGTGAAATCAATTATTACGCTAGGGCATCCATAGAGGGTCTTATCAATTGACTGACACTGTCTAGCGTGGGTTGTGAAGAAAAAATGTACACACACACAATTTCGAGTAGCAAACAATTCAGTTGTGTGTCTATTTTAGGTTTGTGTAATATGTTAATATGTACACGTGATAATTTCAGGAGGTGAAACACAACAGAACTGTGTCTATCCTCGACCAAAGACATACTTGCCATGTGTATCGGTATTGGATGATCATACATTTCTTGTGTAAAATTTTTCAATTTTGAAGGACAATGTTACCACATCTTATTTAGAGATATACAGTAGTAAAGAAACAGTTCATACCACATTGAGAGACTGTGGCTTGTGCGGAAAAGAGAAAATCGATGCTACCAGGCGATATGAAAAGTTTGTGAGCCAATTAATTTCCTCCCAGTTTGCTAGGGTGATTTGTCTACCTTATGTGTTAATACTAGCCGAGTATTTTTAAATAGTAGTGGCTGCTCTAACCAAGACTATGGTCCTATTTACTTAGAAGAGTATATCATACGTTGCTGATACTGTTCTAGGTCATAGTGAGATCAAAACTACTAGACTTTTCACCGTGTGATACCACCACAATATAGAGATACAGCTATTTAAAGTCGTGCGGTTGTTTTGTATAAACACAATTTTAAAGCCAGCAAGACCAATAAATTGAAACAGCATAACAAATTTGAACATTCTGTGTCAGAGTTTTATTTTGTCTGTCTGTCTGTCATTCGCGTCAGACATTTTGTTTCAATCTGTTTCCGGTTTTTGCACCCAACGCGACCACAAAACATGTCTAAAATATAGATACTTTTTTCTTATAGTTTCACTTTTACAAATATTTTCAAATAACCACGAATAAACTGCTACACTATCAAGTTTTCTCCTTTGAATCTAGATAGTACAAACTGGAAAATACACAGAATTTTTTTTTTAATTGTACTTTTAACCAAGCAGGTTTTGAAAAGACAGTCAATTACATCAATCTTGGTCTGATCTAATTTTACACTATTTTGTTTTCTTTCAACATTTTCTGAAAAAAAAGAACACCTTGATGATCTTCTTCAACAACAATCTGAGTTGTTAATTTAAGATCATCGTGTGTTACCGTACATTAGAGACCCCGCGTAAATTTAAAGCAAAGTAGTATCAATAACATAAATCTTAATCAAGGGCAATTAGTTTGACGTTTTACCAACAATGGGATGTCTCATGACGACTCACATGAATTTTTTAAACTTCAACTTGAAGAGGATGCATATTTCAAACAGTTGAGTTATGGACATATAATTGGCCAGAAAAGGACTTTGAGTGTTGGAAGCAACAGGTCCAAACACACACTACAGCAAGAACAGGCAAATGACAATGGAAAATTGGATAATTTGAACTATGATAAAGAAAAGGAGAAACTATTGCAACTATGTGTGTATCAAGAATGGTACAAATTGCAATCAAAACAAATGAATGAATTACGAGTCAAGATTTATCAAGATCAAATGCTAGTCTATAACGAAACAGTGAAACGGTATAGGAAATGCGAAGGGGATTGGATTCGACTGCATGGAGAAAATAAGAGGCAAGAAGAAGAAGCGAAGAGGAAGATAATGGGGTGGAGGCAGCAAATGAAGAAATGGATTGGACATGCGTTAAGAAAGAAAATTGTGGGGAAGAAGAAGTTAAAACTGTTTAGGAAAAAGGATACCAAAGAGGAAGACGATTCAAAAGAGAAAAAGAAGAATGTAAATAAATTTGGAACTAGAAGGTATTTCAAGAGGACCAGAAGCGAACCGAATGAGATTGAAAGCAAAGTAACTATGCACTCAAGTAAATCAAATCATGACCAACAAGATCGAGGTAAATCCAAGAAAGTTAAGACTAAGCAACTTGGTTATTCCCGATATCTATGCCATATTACATACAAACCTGGATCCATTTGTACCACTTGCTTCATTTCCACCAGGACCAAGGCTTGTCATCGAACACGAAAACAGCCAACACCACTTCAAAGGCTCTTGGTGTTGAATTGCCGACAATGGCTGACCATAAAATGGGTTTGGCTTAAGAAGCAAATAGAACAAAAGTTGACACTATTCAACAGCACTATTAAATCATTGACATTTAGAGTATTTATTTACAAGGTGAGAGTAATTAGAGGATACTTTGCCTTGTTAGAGTGGGCTGATATGAAGAGAAGAATATGGATGATAAGAATAAGGAGTAAGAGGTACACCAATCCCAGACTGAATAGAAGCTGTACGGTAACAATTGCAAATGTCGAATTTAAAAATCATGTACCCCATGGTATCGCAACTGACAAATTTGACCGTGCTCATCGAGCGTATCTTAAATTTGAAATGCACAAATTGCAATTACTTTGTCGGCATAGTTTGCAATTCACTTACATAACTATCTAAAAGCATATCCATCCACTACCAAACTACAACACTTCACTAATTATATTTGACTTAGATGTACATTCCAAAAATGCTATTGATACATAACGTATATAAATAATTGCTAGCAAGTACAATCATTACCTAGCCAGCACAAAAAAGTGCAAAAGATTTTTATATAAAACATGTACTAGCCAAGCATACCAAATCGCTTATTCTTTTATACCATATTTTCTTCTATATTTATCATCAACTTCCAATAAATAATAAGTTCCAGCAGGTAAATTTTCAATGGATCCTTTAGGTTTAAAATTCTTTTGCAAATGAGCATCTTCTCTAAGACCAATTGCATCAACATAAGCTTGTGGAGATGCAATTTTACGTCCTTCGCCTAATTTGTAGTCGAAATTTAATACCTTGATAATTGGCGACACGTCTCCCTTTATTACCACCGATAACAAAGTTGAGGCTAAGCCTGATCCATAGGAGAAGATACCAATTCTTTTGTTTAATAAACTGGATGCACCATCGCCTTTGGTTGCAGTGTAGTAGATGGCTGATGCAAGGGAAACCCAGGCTGATGCGGTATACATGTTTCCAGTATTTGTAGGCACTTTCAATGCTGGGTCAACACGGGCCTTGGTTTGTTCTTTGGCCAAGTTGACAAACGTCTTTTCCAAGACTTTATCAGTCAATGAATCTTGATAAGATAATGCATCGATGTGTTGTCTTGTTTGCTCATCAATTAAATCAGCAAACTTTTGTGGATTGGATTTGTAGTCATTATACAACAATCTGGCATAACTCTTGGTGACTAATTTACAAGTTGGGACATGGAATGCATTGTAATCGAAATGATCAAATAAACCCACTGTCTTATTTTTATCACCAGTAACTTTGCGAGAGTAGCTTTTGTAACAATTATCAATGGCCTTAACATAACAGCTCAAGGAAAAGTGTCCATCAACAGTTGGGTATTCACTAGTGAAGTCAGGTTTATAAAAATCATAAGCATGCTCCATAAATGAACCTCTAATTGAATCGAAAACAATAGGAGCATCAGGACCAATCCACAAGGCAACAGCACCAACTCCACCTGTTGGTCTAGCAGCACCCTTGTCGTAAATGGCAATATCTCCTGCAACAACAATGGCATCTCTACCATCCCAACTGGAACTTTCAATCCAATTAATGGCGTTGATCACGGCTGAAGTACCACCATAGCATGCATTGACAGTGTCAACCCCTTCAATATCAGAGTTGTCACCAAATAATTGCATCAAGACTGACTTAACTGACTTGGATTTATCCAATAAAGTTTCAGTACCAACTTCTAATCTACCAACATGGTCAGGGTTGATGGAATAGTGGGAAAGCAAGTTAGACAAAACGGTTAAACTGATGGAGTAGATATCTTCAGTATCATTGACAAATGCCATATTGGTTTGTCCTAATCCAATGGTGTATTTACCTTGTGGAATACCATCAAATTTTTCCAATTCAGCTTGATTGACTGCTTGACCAGGAATGTATACTTCGATACCTTTGATACCAATGTTTTGTGGGGATTTAGTCATCATGTAAGGGAGTGGTGGTAGTAGTTAAGTTGCTGTAGTTGTTATTCTTGTTATCTACTTTAATTTGATATGGGAATAAGAAGAACAAGTGTGTGGTAGATATCGAATATATATCAGGGGTCTGTGTGTGTTGAAAATAATTTTCTCTGTGTGTAAACGAGAGACCTGCATATAAACTGAAAAAAAAAAAACTTTCGATTTACGTGTAATAAGTGGTCTTTCGGTCTATACGATGAGTAGATGTAGATAGGTAGATTGATAGATAGTACTACATAGATACAGTACAAATAGAGAGAGTATGTATGTAATTTAGTTACTTATAAAACTACTGCTAAATTTGACTAGGAACAGGTGTCTGCTTCACAATGTCTATTACTATACGACACATATCTAAAAAGTCTGTGAGTTTATCGAGTGGCGTGTATATTACGTAATCCACTCGTATAAATAGTAGAAGACCATTACCAATGGAAAACAAAAAACACGTCTCGGCCACACGCCTTTTTTAATGTCGCTTTTTGTTTTTACAGACACGACACTGAGGAGAAAATATAACACCATTTTTGCAGCAATATGTAAACCAAGAAAACTTCAATTTTAAACCAATTAAAAGCTTTTAAACTCCTCATTCCGGTTGGGTATTACTAATGGTCTATTTTTTCATATAAAATGAGGTAAGTTTCGCCCGAATACTTGTGCTAAAGTTCTTTCTCTCAAAAAGCCATTTTGACTAATAAATTGAATTGTTTTTTTTTTCAATCATGTTGAGGTTTGGATTCTTGTTATTATCATTTACATCACTTGTGTTAGGAACTGTCGGGCTGTTTCAAAGAGAGAGAAATTGCGACGCATCCAAGATTGAAGCTTGTCGGGTTGCCAATGAAATAAAGTATTACAACTGCGAAATCTTCTACGATGATTCAGATGAAGATACAGATACAGATACAGATCATGATCATGATCATGATCACCATGATGACGAAGATGACAGGCAATACGATTCTGATGCAGAAGAATATTATGTTGAAAGAAAAGTTTCTCAGTGTGTTTGCGGTTTGGGAGACGATTATTACACCATTTGGACCGAATGTGCCAAATATTGTGACCATGATGGTAGAATCGACTTACATTCCGAGGCGATGAAAAGCTCGGTATGTGCTGAGGCTCTGAAAGTGGTGCCTAATTCCTATCTTGCAAGCTACATTTCATCAAGAGACCAAACACAATCACTAGCTTGGACAAAGACAAAGGATTTGGACCATAGAACTGATGATCTTTCCTCAAGGATTTCAGCAATAATGAAGTCCATATCTGGTTCAAGCAATACTGGGGAGTCTATTGAGCCTGCTTTATCTACAACAGAAGGTGTATCAAGTGATACTGCTGCTAAAACTGAGTTTGAGACAACTAGCTCAGAGGTTGCTTCTAGTACTATTGTTGATACCGCCGAGTCTGACATAGCCAATTCAAAGGGAACCTCAAGTGATTCTGCTGCTGAAACGGAGTCTGACACAGCCAATTCAAAGGGAACCTCAAGTGATTCTGCTGCTAAAACGGAGTCTAACGCAACCAACTCAGAGGGTTCTTCTAGTAACATTGCTATTACAGCTGGTTGTGGCTCATTAATCTCTTTGATTTTATTATCCTTGTTGTGATATCTGATCTGGTCGAAGTGAATAGGTCTAAAATGTATAACTTCTGTGTAGTACAACTATTTATCTTCATGTTTTTCTCATGTAAAGTTGACCAATGAGAACTCTCAAAAGTAAAGTGGAAAAAGGGGTCCACCCGAAAGATAGAGAAACGTTTCTGGTGAAAGTAGTTCTAGCCGCAGCAAATTAAGCAAAACGTGTGTCTCCATATGACAGCAAAATGAGTGTATAAAGGTTATCTACATACACCTTTGTAGTTACCAATTGGTCTACAAAACACAAGATTAACCTCTCGGAGTAAATCGATAAAGAGAACAATGACGAAATTGTGGCTGTTTGTCTCATAATTTTGTCATGTGCATTAAATTGAGTGTCATATGTTAATACTAAACGACATCTGCTTATTGTTTTCACCGCCGTTGTAAATTTTACGACACTGAAATTTTCCAATTTTTTTACTAATGGGCTTATAAATACAAACGATATATAAGGGGAAAGTAACGCCAACTTTTATACTGCCTTCAAACTATTCCTTTCTGCTATCTATCAATGATATCAGTCATAACACAGAAGTCAGGAGGTGAGATCCCTGACTCTTTAAAGCCCTTTCTTACCAATAAATTCATTCATAAGACATGGGCAGGCACATTTTATTGTCAACCACAAGCTATTTTTCAACCCCGTAATGAAGATGAAATTAAGGAATTGATCAAACAAGCTAGATTGCATCACAAGACTATAATGACGGTGGGTTCTGGCCATTCCCCAAGTGATTTAACCATGACTAAAGAGTGGTTGTGCAATTTGGATAAATTTAATCATGTGTTACATCAACAAGAACATTGGGGTCCGGTTCTGCCAGGGTCAACTGAGCAAGAGGTAAAGTTTGTTGATTTAACGGTTGAAGCTGGGTGTCGCATATTTGAATTGAATCAATACTTGAAAAATCACCAGTTGGCTATACAGAATTTAGGTTCAATTAGTGACCAATCGGTAGCTGGGTTAATTTCTACGGGTACTCATGGATCTACGCCTTACCATGGCTTAGTATCACAGCAGGTTGTTTCCATAACCTTTTTAACTTCGGCTGGTGACTCAATTACTTGTTCATCAATTAACAAACCAAACTATTTCAGAGCCATACTCTTGTCGTTGGGAAAGATTGGTATCATTACTCACGTTACATTGCGTACGTGCCCAAGATACACCATTAAATCAGTACAAGAGATTATCCATTTCGATACATTATTAGCTCAATGGGATACGATTTGGTTAGATTCGGAGTTTATTCGTATTTGGTGGTTTCCATATACGGATAAATGTGTACTTTGGCGAGCCAATAAATCCAATGATGCAATATCACCACCAAGAGAGTCATGGTATGGAACCACATTTGGTCGTTTTTTCTATGAATCATTACTTTGGATTTCAGTTCATCTTTGGCCTAGCTTAACTCCTAAAATTGAACAATTTGTATTTGAACAACAATATGGAAAAGTTGAAACTTTGGGTAAAGGCGACATTGCAGTACAAAATTCAGTTGAAGCTTTGAATATGGATTGCTTGTTTTCACAATTTGTTAATGAATGGTCTGCTCCATTGACTAATGGTGTTGATATTTTGAAGCAATTGAAATCGACTATCGAACAAGCGGCAGCCACCAAGAGTTTCTACGTTCATGCCCCAATTGAAGTCAGATGTTCAAATGTAACTCAGTGCAACAAACCATTTGTTGACGATCAAGGTCATGAATCATTATATCCATCTCAAACTTGGCTATCAAATCGATCTAAAACAAGCCCTGGCCCTATACCCGGAAACAATTTACGACCATTTTTGGACAACTCGCCCAAGTTGCCTCATAAAGACACTAACTCGTACCCTCCAACAAACGATGAATTGACAGTATTCATAAATGCAACAATGTATCGACCTTTTGGCACCAATGTAACTACTCATACGTGGTATCAAATTTTCGAAAATGTCATGATCCAAGCTGATGGAAAACCTCATTGGGCCAAAAACTTTATTGGCGTGGAAGGCGAGAAACAAGATGCAAATGAAGTTGTTGACGACTTACATCAACAATTGGAATTTGGGGGTAAACCATTCTACACTATGATTGGATTTAAAAAGTTAATGCAAGATTGGTTTGGTCAGGATCTTGTTGAGTTTAACAAGGTTCGTAAATTGACAGATGCTGATGGAGTTTTCCTCTCAGGTAAACCCTGGGCTGATAGAAATGGTATTTTATTGGATTAAAATAATAGGGCAGTGTATACGCCAAGGCGAGTAAGCCACCGTTTCTCTACTTAAAATATGCGTATTTACTATTTCCTTTTACTTAAACGGAGCTTTTAATGGATCAATAACAACACCTTGCTTGGTAATCACTCTAGGCATGGTTAATTTCTGGTGGGTTTCTCGACTGGTCCATTCTTGTCCCAAGGGCATTCGTAACGATTGTTCATACTGTTCTCTAGTTTCAAATGGATATGGAACATCCGACGACTGATATTTGAGAATCTTCTTGTTCAACTTCTCATTGATTATGACATTGGATAAGTTTTTATCTTTACGTTTATCGCGTTGCGTCACGCCATCGATTTTACGAATGAATTTCCGCTTCTTCTTGTTGGACTTGGCGCCTCCACTACCGCCTGTCCAATCACCCCATCCTGGTAATGTTACATCCTCCTCTTTATCATCCTCGTCTTCAATCATTCGTTTCTTTTCCAGTTGAAATTCACTAGTTACATCATCACCTACAAATGCTTCTTTGATTAAATCCTTTTGCTTAAACATTGTTGGCACCGAATCGATATCGATTTCTTCTCCATCATCGGATCCGTCATCCTTGTGAATGTCGGCAATTGCTAGCGTATTATTGACATCAATTAATGATTCAGTATCGTTATGATTTTTCTGCTTACGTTTGGCAATCTTGGCGGCCGCTTTAGCAAGCTTGGATGAATTTTCATCAATCATTGTGGTAATTTTACTCGACTTTTGTCTTGCTTCTAAATTATTCGTACTAGCTGTAGTAGATGCAAGCCAAGGATTCGATTCATCAACTTGAACTTTCTCAACTTCAGCTTTACCGTTTTGTCCTTGGTTTTGATTTTCCTCCACAACTTGCACTTTATTAATCTTGGATTGTAAAGACTTGGCATTATCATCCTCAACTTGGTTCATAATATCTTCATTTAGATCACTGTCATCAATTGCTGCTGCATTGTACACCCGTCTACCAGTATTTTTCTTCACATTAACCAACCCATTGTCTTGTTCAAATAAATCGATCCCCGTATCTTCACCACTCTCCAATCTTCTCAATTGTTCAATTTGTTTTAAATTCTCTTCTTTTTTCCTCTTCTCGGCATTCTTCATAAAATCCATCGCCATTACTCCCTTTCCAATCTTGCTTCTATCTACATCGTCACCATCTTTAACATACTCACGCTCGAGTCGATCTAAATTGTCATCACTGTAGAATCCTTCATCGTCATCATCACCACCATCACCCCCTCTTCGGCCCAATTGCTTCTCTCTTAAGCGTTCCCCCTGTCTCAACATCTCTTCCAACTCCTCTCTGTTTGACGCGTCTTTCGACAATCCACTCTTGATCATTGATTGCGCCCATTTCAGCTGAGTCTTATGTTTCAAACTCATTCTCTCTTTAGCCCTTTCCATGTCATGATCTTCTCCTTCGTCACCAACATCTTCTACCTCGTCACCCAACTCTTGATTTCTCAATCTTTCTCTCTTTTTAATCTTGTGATATTGTTTTGACTTGATCTTTTTCAATCTTTTTGCTCTACGTTCATCTCTAAACATCAATTCCCTCATGAGTTTTAACTCGTTGGTACGTTTACGCATTTCCTCGGGTGACATTTTGGCCATGGCGATTTCTTCAAATGTAGCTTCCTTTTTGTCGTCAACCAACGCTGACTGAGTAAGCAAATCATTAACCTTTTTCTCTAAGCTCGTTGTGGGCACATGATTATCAGCTCTAAATGTCAAGACTGAATCATTAATTTGGTCTGGTTGCTGCATGGGAAACTTCAACACTTCAGCTTGTCTGTTTTGCTGTACAGTATCACTCCATTTACTAACTTCCTTTTTGGCTAAGTCATAAGCAGCACCACGATCATTTCTTTGCTGAATACGTTTAGGTAATGGTGTAGCAACCGCTTTAGCGTCTTGATCAATGAGAATATTATCGACACCGCTAACGTCCTTCATCATATCGGATAATGATAATTTTTGGCCGTTTGACGGCACACTAAATTCATTCTCAGCACGAGTTTCAGCAATAAATTTCTTACGCTCCTTCGGTTTGGACGTTTCTAGTTCCCTATTCAACATTCCTGTTGTTTTCACTAAATCAACCCCCTCATTGTCATCATCTGATTCATGGGCAAATACATCTTCTTCTTCAGATTCACCCTCCTCTGATCCAGAATCCAGATCGGATGTGGATGCTTTTGTCGTATCACCCCAATCTTCTTCCACTCCTTCATCATCTTCACCATCTTCCTCATCATCGTCATCTTCTTCGCCACTAGAAGAGCTCTCTGACACCCAATCGTCATTAAGCACCAACTCATTTGAGTCCTTGCTTCCCTTAACTTGGGCAAGATCACGATCGTCCATATCCCAGGCTTCCGATAATGTAACTAACTGTCCCTCATCAATACTATCATACTCCTCATCCTCATCATCGAGGTCACTGTCACTATCTTGTCCCAATTTCCTCCTCTTTGCTTTGTCTCGTATCGTTTGTGAAAACTTACTATTCAAAACATCATAATCGTCATCACTTGCCAACGCTTCATCGGAATCAATATCCTCATCCAATAAATCTTCATCTTGTTGCCCATCTTGTAGAAACTTTCTTGCATCCAATATACCTTCTTCAAATGGAACATCATTATCTGATTCATCGTCATCAAAATCGCGAGGATTACTCTTTCTCTCTTGTCTCTCGGCAATTTGGTATGCGTCGATTATCTTTCTCGAGCTTCTATTCTTGCCACTCTTTTTCACTCCTTTGCTCTTCTTTGCCATGGTTGCTGTGGTTTGGTGATAAAATTAGTGGGCTGCAAGATGGAGATGCCCTTTTTAAATTTTTTTATATTTTTTTTTACCTACGACTTTTGTGCAACAATTTTCATTCTTTCACATCGCCAATGCGATAAGCTTTGACAAAGGAATGGCACTAGTAACGGTGGCAAAGATAAGCCCAACACCGCTGGAGATACCTTCGAGTTATGCTGGGACATTCAAGAACAGTCTACAAGTTCATCCACTGTTGAGAAATGATGCCAATAATACGTCTTTTACACATGTTTCTCATCGCTGTTCTAGTTTCCGATGTCAAGTTTTACACATCTAACTACAAGGAGTCTAAAATATCATTGATTTCATCAGCAGTCAACTTCTTAAACCTTGGACCTTCAACATTAGTACCAGTGAAACCCAACAACTGCTCTTGGGGATCACTAATAACAGCAATGTCCAAATTATCACCAATCAACTCTCCTTCAACACTTTCTTTCAAAGCTAAAAGTGAAACGTGAATAGCATCCTCCAACTGCAAGTTTTCATTCCATCTCTTCTCAAGAAACGTCTTGGCACTATTTGCCGTCTTCCCTATGGCTGTTGCTTTCCATGGGAAATATGAACCACTAGGGTCAACTTGGTATAATTGAAACTTTTCTGAAAACTCGTCATATCCACCAACTAATAGGGAAACACCAAATGGTCTTATACCTCCTGACTGTGTACTTTCTTGCATGACTTTGGCAATTTCTTGAACCATGATACGTACAGGTGGGTATTCATTGTAAACTAATTTGTAGTTCGTTTGGGCCAACTTACGGGCTTTGTCAACCAACACTCGGAAATCTGGCCCCATTCCACTATATGTCATACCAATGTTTGGAGTTATATATTCCACCTTGTTATTGACATCCGATTTGTTGAGTATCGAATTGGATTTACGCTCTGTGGCTAAAACCACCCCGTTATCACACTTGATTCCAATTGTAGTAACACCTTGTTTGACGGCATTGAGGGCGTATTCAATTTGCACTAATTTACCACTGAAATGAAGTAGTTAGTATATTTGCCTCTGGTAGAAATTGTAGCAAGCCGCCATATGGAGCTGCCACTACAATTAAGTACATACCTTGGTGAAAATGTCGTCAACGAGAATGAATATCTATCAGCCATTGTAATTGAATTGTTGTTGGATCTATAGCTTTAAGCTTGGGTTAGGGGTTACTTTTGGCGTGCTCTTTTCCCTTTATTCGCCTTCGATCAATTCTTGACGCAAACAGAGAAAAAAAACAGAAAAATGTTTTGCAAATCTACACGACAAAATTTTTTCAATTCTTTTGCAATTACTCTATAACAAAATTCAACTCTATAAATTTTACTTTATCAAATCTATTCCTCTTCATCATCAGTGTCAACTGGCTTTGGTGTTCCTTTAGGAGAGCTCAACCATTCAATATACCTCAATCTTCTTCTTTCAGCTTGAGCTTTCTTTTCATTTCTAGTCATCTTCTTCTTTCTGGTTCTAACTTTAATATTAGCAGGCGAATCATCATCGTCAGCACGTTTCTTGACTTCTGGTGCTGGTGATCCCTCAGCAGACTCACTTCCTCCATCTTCAAATCTGTTTGCATCGACAGCAATACTTCCCTTTTGAACAACTTGTCCATTTTCAACATGCCATTGCTCAGGACATAAAGCTCCCACGAATTCGTTGTTGTGCGAAATCATAACCACACCTCCCGACCATTCTCTAATTGCAATGGCTAAACCTCCCAATGAGTCACGGTCTAAATAATTTGTAGGTTCATCCAAAACCAACAAGTGTGGGTTGTTCCACATAGCTCCAGCAATAACCACTTTGACTAATTGACCACCTGATAAAGATCCCATAGGCGTGTGATCAGCAATTTCTCCATCCAAACCAACATCTTCGAAATGTTTACGAATAACTTTTGGACTCAATTCTCTGTAACCCAAACCTTCTCTTGAAGCTTCATGATCATCAAACTTTTGTATAAGCTTATCAAATCCTTCTTCCAACAAAGTTTCTCTAGGGACCCAAGAGTTGTACTTTGGTAACCAGTACTTCCATTTGACTTCATATTGGAAAGATTTTTTCAACTTTTGTCTACCAACAATGGCCTCAACTTGTCTTTTACCTCTACCATCCCCAATATCAATCTCCTTGTCCATCATTGCTTTTTCTTCATCAGAAATCTTTCTCGATTCTTTTAATAGAACCTCACGATCATCACCAAATCTATAACGCCATTGTAAATATTGATTGGCAGTTTTCTCCTTATGCTGTTCAACGTGTTGCAACGCATGTTGCGCAATGTACCCAATTCTCAAGTTCGGATGTTTTTCAACTTTCCCCTCAGCTGGAATCAATTCACCAGTGAGTAGCTTAATCAACGTAGATTTACCAGCACCATTAGGACCAACAATAGCTACTCTTGACGACAACGACAATGAACATGAGACATTATTTAAAGATGGCTTTGCGGCACCTGGGTAGGTGAATGTCACATTGGACATACGTGCAACTGACCTAGTGTTTGACTTGACACCTGTGAGAATACCAGGAGGTGGGAATGCCATCTTGACATTGGAATCCGTTAAAGTGTAGTATGATTTTCCTTCTGGCTTAACCTTGACAAACTCAGACAAGTTACCCTTGTAGTATGCTAGTTTCTTATTTTCATAGTGGATAATATCGGTACATACGGCATCAAGGAATCCGGAATCGTGGGAAACAATCAATGAGGTAATTTCAGTGTGATCAACAAGGTATTGCTCCAACCATTTGACGTTTCCAACATCCAAATGATTTGTAGGTTCATCCAACAACAAAACATCTGCATGCATCAACATTGCTCTGGCCAATTCCAACTTCATCTTCCAACCCCCAGACAAAGAACCCACATTCTTTACCAATGTCTCCTCAGAAAAGCCAACATCAAATAATGCCGACTTGATCTCATTCTTTTCAACATTGGCCAACTCTGGGTCAGAAGCAATGAAACTGACCAAATCCATATCTGCTTCGGATCCTTGTAATCTATGTTCAACAAAACAGGTTTTTAACTCATCGGCAGAGGGAAATCCTTCTAATTGACCTTTGGAAATAGCTCTCATCAAGGTGGATTTACCAGCACCGTTTCTACCACATAATCCATATCTGTGACCCTTCAAGAGTCTCAAGTTTGTCTTGTTCAACAACATACGAGAACCATATGCTAAAGAAAAATCAGCATTGACAATCTCAATGGAACCATCATCATTTGCACCATCCAGAGTTGCTTCTGGGTTGAACAAGTGTTTGACATTGGCAGTGACTGCTTGTGCGTATTTTTCATCATCCTTTGAAATCATTGTCAAGTATTCAGCCAATCTCTTCCAGTCGTTGACGTGAGCATCTACTTGAAGGACTTTACCGAGGTATTCCAAATAATCGCTATTGACACTCGATGGTTTCTCCACCTCTTCTGGTAAATTCTCAGTATAGAAGTTCTCCGCTTCTTTCAAACTTATTCTGCCGTGGAATTTTCCATCAGTCTGTTCGGCCTCGGCATCCTTCAATACTCTGAATGCTTTATCAGCAATCTCTCTAACCTCGGGCAAGGAAGCATTATTGACAACTTTTTCGACACCAGGTAAAAGAATTGGAATAAATGTCTCGATTTCTCTCTTGTTGTTCACCAATCTTGTTAAATTTTCAGTTACCATAACCGTCTGTCTCAATTGTTCGTTTGAAGATGACGACATTTTCAACGACTTGTCCAAAATAGGAACCAACAAAGACAATGCTGGCTCGGTAACTTCTGCGACAAATGTGACGGAAGAAAGATTCTTGATACATTCAGGGACCTGTTTTGGATCGGCCAAGGTATCAACAATTAAATCATACTTGTTTTGCAAGTCCAAGTTATCCAAAACTTTAACAAACCTTTTCAATGTGCTTAACCCTGATTTTGCCAATTCCGGTTTGAAATCTGTTGACAAGTCAGTCAATACTGGCACCACATCGACGAATTTCAATTCCAAAATATCAGCAGGTACTGTATCAATTATTTTATTGAAGTTTTCCAAAGCTGCAACTTTGCTGTTCCATTTGGCGCCTGATTTAAAAATTGACAAGTATTCATCCAACACTACTGAGCCCAAAGCTTCAACTGGGTAGATACCAAATAAGGAATCAGTAGCTGATTTGGCTGCTTTGACAACATTTTTGTCCTTATCAGTAAACATGTCGTACGCCGTGGCAAAAAACTGTAAAAGAAACCACTCCTTTGGTGTCTGTCCTCCAAATTGAACTGCCAATTGTTGAATGATAAGCAAAGCCCCTTCTTTGACCAATGGCGAGTTCTTTGGTTTCAATAATGACTTTAGGATGTCATTCAACTTCCATTCATTTATAACTGCCAAGCTGTCTTGTTCTGCAATCTGAGTTACAATAGCAGTCACTTCCGTCTTGACCTCGCCGATCTTACTTGCCTTTTCAATATTGGACAAGTTTTCATGGAAAGGTACGTCAACATTCAATTTCGAAAGTGCTGTGTTTAACGAAGTCAAGGACGTTGTTGATGCATTTGGATTTGGTGTGCTTCTTCCACTTGTAGGAAGAGAATCAATTGGTGATGCGACAGATGAGCCTTGGTTGCTTTGCGAAGGCTTGTTGTAGTATCTGCCTTGGTTATATCCCTGATATTGCTGCCCTTGGAACTGTTGCCCTTGGAACTGCTGCCCTTGGGACGGTTGGTAACCCTGATACTGTTGTTGCTGGTATTGTCCTGGAACAAATGTGTTGTTAAAATTATATTGTTGCCCACCAGCATTGGCATTTCTGTATCCATACGTTTTCGGCTTTTGCTGAGCCTGTTGCTGCTTCACGAAATCATCAAACGACTTGGACATGGCAGCTTGTTTGAGAAGAGATAAAGGACTCTAAGGGATTTTTTTGATGAGATGCTTCATTTTGTACCACGAGGGAAGAAAAGAAAAAAATTTTCAGTTACAAGAAAAGCCGCACGAAATGCGTGTACTTATAATAAAACTAATCTACTAGCTGCTTCAGTGCAAGATTCACCCTGCAATATTGATCTCCAACTTTATATGTGAGATCATAGTATTTCAACCGTGAATCAGCACTATTCTTGCTTCCATTTTTGTTAGGAGAGGATGGCAGAGACTTTATAGTCTCGCGATTCCAAGCCATGAATGTGATATCAGACCCACCTTTGATCTTACTAAAGAATTTTCTATTAAAACTGCCAACTTCTTTATGTTTGACTTGTTCATCGATAGATATCTGGTACACCTTTGATAAAAAAGATTTCGTCCCATTTGAGAACCCAGCAATAACAAGACCAAACGTCTTGCCTTTATCATCGGGTGTGGTCATATCTATAAGAGAGCTAGTGTTCACCTGTGAAAAACTGCTCTTTGTCGGAATCAACATTTTTTCGTCACCTCCCTTGCTGAACAAATTGATATCTTTTCCAATGATGAGATAAGCTCCGTTGGGTAGTACAAATATATTTTGAATTTCGTCAAATCGACTCAAGGTTAGCTCCCCAGTTGTTGAATTGCCTTCTTGAGTAAGTGCCACCCTATCTTGGACAGAGCTTAGCCTGACAATAACCCCATCGTGGTCAAATGTTCTCGTTTTTGAAATATCCTCATTCTGGGCTTCCGTTTCAGGCTGAATTGATTCTTCCTCTTCATTGGTATCAATTACTGTCATCTCACTCTCGTTGGTTAGAGAACGTTCCAACGTTTCCTCCTTCCTGTCTAGCTCCATATGGTCAGCCCCACTTTTATCAAGCTCCTTCTGCTCAACTTCCCTCTGTTCTGCCTCCTTCTGTTCTGGAATATCATCATCAAAGAAACGAGATATTATGTTAGACTTTGGTGAATTGGACCCCTGTGCGAATACGAAATCATCTTCGCTATTCTCAATCATCTCTTCGATTTCGTGGTGATTCTCCTCTGAAATATTGAGCTCTCCCAACCGTGACGACGGGGACCTTAATAACGATATAATCTCCTTCATCGAGTCTTTTAATTGCTGTCTTGATTTCTTGATTGCTTCCAAGTCTGGTTCTGAAGGTGTGACAGGGTAGTCAGATTCCTCCTTGACATCTTCCCTGGTGGTTTCCCCCTTGCTTTTGCTCTTCAAAAGCATATTTTCCTTTTCCAAGCTATCTAACTTCGCCTGTTGCTTCTGATTGGCATATTTTAAAGTCTTGATCTCTCCTTCTAGGTGTAATATCCTGTACTTCATCTCTGACTTCTCCAAATTGGTCATGATCTTGAACCTTTCCAAGTTTGTAAATTCAGATGTGAGGTAATTGATCACCCCTGGCAATGTGTAGGTTGGTTCATTCAGATTCTGTGGCAACAGGCTACTTGCTTGGTCTTTCCATTGTGTTTGAGGGTTCATTGGCCTATTAGATCGAGGTGGCATTGTTTTAAAAAAGAAAACTAGTGCTTCGTTTTATTTTGCGTGTTGTGTATATATTTCAAAATCTACAAAAAAGACAATCTATGTAAAAAAAATTCTCTTTTCGCGCAAATCATTTTTTTGCACTTTCATGAATCCAATCATTCAATCCATATCTGTTCCTAGCAATCTCAACAGCATAAAATTGCATCCTCACTGCAAACATTGTCGTGTCTTGACCATACTCCTGGTCCGCTCTTAATCTTAAAAGTGTACCAAAGTTGAAATCTTCGATATCTTTAAAGCTGTCGCAGAACTTTCTCCACTTTGTCTTACCCTGAGCTGATTTCATTTCATCTTCATTCAATGAAGCAGCAGCAGACTTTTCCTTAAACTCTGGAAAATCCTCCAATAACCTGTTGAAAATATCATCGTCAAACTTGGTAAGTCTCAACTGGGAACCTGGGACCTTCTCCAATAATGACCAATATGTTTCTGCTTGATGCACTGCCTTCACAGCAAATTGCATTTCAATCTCCTCCATATTCTCCGCCTTTTCAGGGTCGAATGGCTGTCCTTCTGCGTGTAGTCCTGACATTTTTGCTGTTGATTCTAAATTACGATTTGGAAGAAGTAAGTGGTGGATAAAGATTTATGGAAAAGATGAGAAGAGAACGGAATAAAAAGATAGCGAGAGCTACCATTCAAATGGCGTATTTTGTATTGCGCCTAACAGTTTTGCAGTCGTAGGGAAATCCTTTGCAACAATATACAAGCAAAAAAAAAAACAAAAAAACAGAAAGAAAATTCTAGAATTATCTAGGATCAATTAAATTCAAACTACATAAAACTGTATAGCAAAACGGAAATAGGTTAAGCAATTTATAAATTAGGTGTAAAATCTTGCAAGGCATTCAAAATCCAATTTGCTTCCCTGACACCGCTGTCGTAAGCACTGTGAACACACCCTGAACATTCAGTAACTGTGTGCTCACCAGCAAATCTTATAACATCATTTCCAAGTTCTAAACCCTCTAGATCATCTGGGTTCTTGCTCTCGGAATTGGTTGGCTTAAAAAGCACCGCACTATATGAGCCTCTAATATATGGGTTTAAAGTCCAAGACGAAGTTATTGTACTTATTGGATCCTCTACCGAGTTGACTGCAATCTTTTCAAGCATGGGTTTGAAATAAGTCCAAGCTTGATCGGGGTGTGATTCGAGGTAGTCGGTCAATGGTGCTGGTGTGAGAATCACCAAACTTCCACCCCGATTGTACAATCTTGAATAGTTCACTGCTAATGCAGGAAATGAGAATGGTCTGGGTGAACCATCAGCATTAAACCAATGTTTGGACTCAATTTCATCTGGGAGTATCAAAAACTGATCCTCGTCTTGGTTCCACCACACATTATTAAACTCGAAAATGACCTTCCCTAGAGCCGCAAAGTCTACTGCATTTATAAAGTTTTGAGTTTTCGATGGTAATGAGGGGTTCCAAGTGATTCCAAATTCATCGTCAGCCTTCAACTTCAAGATTGACAAAGGTACAGTTACTACAACAAAGTCTGCTTCAATCTCCAAGCCCGACTTTGTCCCCACCACAACCCTCTTTGTAGAGCCACCACGTTGAGTCACTGACTTTACTGGCTGGTTCAAAAGGATACTGGACTCGGGAATTTTCTCTAACAAAGTGTCTATAAGGAACGTGTAGCCCTTTTTGTTTAATATATTGCGTCCTTGGTGGGTTTCCAAAACCATTCTTCCATCAGCGGTCTCTGCTGGCACCCCGTACCAGAGTTCATAGTATCTCATTGCTCTCCTGATATACTGCTTCTGCTCAGTTGTGAGGAAAAACAGATGGGATTTGATGTATTCCTTGACCACTTCATCACATGATATATTTTGCCGCTCAGTGTTGAAATACAAGTGGAAGAATTGAATGACTTCTTCGAGTACTCTGTTTAGCCTTAGACCTGATACATCCAACTGGCCCTCGCTGGTGTATGTTGGACCATCTTTGTCGTCATAGTAGATATCCTCCTCTTTTAACAACCCAGTTTCAAGCATTTCCTTTAATACGCTATTCGCCAATGAATCGTGGTACCATAATGCACCTAGAGCATATGGAATTCCTAGCTTGGACTGGTCAATCTTGGAATCTTGGATTCGACCACCCACTTTATCCTGTGCTTCTAGGACAACAATGTCGTCCTTGCCAAGCTTGCCACATGATATCAACGTTTCAGCAGCTTTCAATCCCGATACACCTGCGCCAACAATGATAACTTTTACTGATTTAGTCATTTCGGTGTTGGTTTTAAAATATGTAGTGGTGGTTGATTCTAGTATAGGTCATTGAATAAAAGAGGTGTACTTTTGTTTTGAACGTACTATTTGCGCGGCATTAAGAATGTGCTTATGACGAGAAGAGTTGAGAGATGCAAAACATGATATCAAGGTTGCCTTTTCTATGTGCCCACTACACTTGTTCTCTATAGACCAGTAGTGGCTACAATTAACACATTGGCCATACTTAAAGCTTCTCTATTTACAAGATATCAAATGTCAAACTATTTATAAAGGAATCCAAATATTCCGCTCTGCTTGGCTTCTCTCTCCGTTTTAGGGATATATGCCTCAGAAAGCCCGGTGATTTTTTCGGCACTCTCAGGTGCTAATGCTTCTCTTCCAATAACATCAACAAAGTTTCCCTCGGGATCCAAAACGTAAAAGAAGATTGAGTGGTCAACTAAATAATCTTGACCCGGCTTAACATCTGGTGGCGTTGAGAAATAAACACGATACTTTTTACAAGCATTCTTCACCTCGTCATATTCCCCTGTCAATCCAATAATGCCTGGGTGGAAGTCCTTCAAGTAGACGTCTACAACTTTGGGGGTGTCTCTATTTGGATCGCATGTGATAAAGATTGGCTGGATCTCAACATTATTCTCTTTGAGGATGTCCAACATGTCGCCCAACTTGTCAAGCTCTTCAGGGCATACATCAGGACAATGAGTGAATCCAAAATACAATATCGAAAACTTCTTTCCGTTAGGATCAACAAGGTTCTTCTCTGTGAAAGGGTTACCATTTGTGTCAACCAAGTTAAATGGGCCACCGATTAATGGGGTTCCAACCTTTCTGTTTTGTTCCATTTCTCTATGGTGTTGTAGTCTGGCCTTTTCCTTTTGGAAAAAGTATGTACCAACTCCACCTACTACGAGGAGGAGTACCACTGCTTTCCAAGTGGCAAATTCCAAGCCACTACCCTTGTTAAATTGCTTTAACGAATCTTTCGACCCTCCAATTGCGACTCTACTCAAGGGCCTTCTTTTGGGCTCTTCTTTTGATTCTGACCTTGGCTCATCTTCGGGTTTTGATTTGGAGCTCTCCTGGAATTTAATCAGCGATGAGGAGAAGGACCTTATCAATGGAAAATACGTGGGTCTGACCAACCTGCTTTGTCTAAGGGTACCTCTCAACATGATCAATGGTTAGAAAGGTGTGAAAAACTTGGATTAAGGAAATTTATGTGTGTCTTTTATAAATCGTCTATTTTGTCACTTTCTGCACGACCAAAAAGTTTTAAAAATCACCAGATCTGCAGAAGCAAATGAATTTGATGGAAGAAAATAGTAAAAGGGATGCTATCTACGTAAATGCGAGTTTCACAGGGTACCCTCTATGAAGATTAATGTTACTTGTTTGCTGAAATGGACAAAGTATTTGTATGTCATCGAATGCCGTGGATCTTTTCTCTTTTCGCAATAATTTTTTATCCTTATAATTGCATCTTTTATTAAGCACTATGGACAAGATTGATAGATTGCTTAAATGGGCCAACGACAATGGTGCCGATATCTCATCAAACATAGAATTTAGAGAAATAAAGTCTAATTATTTTGGAGCTATTGCAACGACCAGTGGGAAAGCATCAATTAGAATTCCAAGGGAGTTGGTGATTACGTGTGACAAGGCCCTGGCATTATTCAAAGATGCATATAAAGAGGCAAGCCACGGCTCTTTGTTAAAAGTTTACCTTTGCTACCAACAAACGCAGCATGATTTTTACAAGCCCTATTTGGATTTACTCCCATCCCTAAAAGCAATTGATTCTCCGTACACTTGGTCGGCTGAAGAAAAAGCGTATCTCAAGGGAACAAACTTGGGTAACTCTTTGAGGGAAAACATTGCTTTCTTGGTTGAAGAGTGGTGGAGTGCAGTTAATTTATTACCAGAGGATATACCCAAACCGGAACTGCATTTCATAAACTTGAAATTTTATTACGAAAACAAGTTTTACACTGATGACGACTATTACAGATACTTTAACGACGTTGATACCGACAACTGGACCAGCTTTCCAAACTACCTTTGGGCGTCACTCATTCTTAAAAGTAGAGCCTTTCCTGCCTACATTATTGATCCAAATTTACCAAAGAATGAGCCGATGTTGTTACCCGTTGTTGATTTGTTGAATCATAATCCAAAGGCAAAGGTCGAGTGGAGCTGTCTAGACGGTGCATTTATTTTTGAATCAGATGATGTTTCCAAAGGTGAAGAGCTTTTCAACAACTATGGCCAAAAGGGAAATGAGGAATTGTTGTTGGCATATGGTTTCGCAATTGAAAATAACCCAGCCGACTCCTCCGCATTAAAGATCAAGATTCCAGATTCAAGGATGGATGTGGTTAAAGATTTGGGTATTGAGCTACCATCGATACATGATTATACAAACTCAGTTGTTGAACAAGCTCCAGAAGCAAAAACTGAACAGGGCGATGGTGTGCTTTTTTACATCAACCAGGAGCAAATTCCAGACAGTTTGATTCAATTGTTCCAAGCTCTCGTGCAAAACCAATGGGAATCTGGTTTCACGTTACGCATGAAATTTGCCGGGTTGAACCATCTCAGGGCCGCTCTTGAAACGAAAAAGGGTTTGATGAATTTAAATGTTCCCAATGATACCACAGGGCACAAGTATATTCGGTGGTACATTGAATCGCAAAATGCCATCTTTATGTCTGCCATCAAGATCATCAAGAGGCAGGAAAAGCAGCTCCTCAGTGAGTATAAGTCCGACTTGACATCATTGAAAAGTGTTTACAAAAACGATGTCAAGTTTCAACAATCGTTACTTTTCCTAGGCTTTAGCTCGTATGAAACAGTGTTGGAGTCTGAATTTCAAGACCAGTGTTGGCTATTATGGTTGATTCGCTGTTACAATAAGGACAATTATGGAGATGAGAACCTACCACAATGGATCCACGACCTATTTGTTCATCTTAGAAAGATTACTGATATCTCAACTCAAGAGGTTCTAAACTTTAAGCCTATCCATGATGCCCTAGTTCCTGACTTGGCCAAGGCGGTTCCTGAAATTTACAATGTGGGAGATTGGTCAATAGCTGAGTTCATAATTGCTGCCAAGTTGCTAGACACAATTTCCTTCACGAGGGGTAAAGAGCAGGAGTGTATCATAGTACGCCAAAATTACAAAACGTAAATTACTTTATATAAAAAAGGTTAATCATGTAAAAAAAAATGTATATCTCTAATCTTGTTTGATACCGCCGGCACCGCTGACTTCAGCACTTTCAACAGAAGCTTTATCAGTCTGTACACCAGCACCTCCAGTTAACATTTCCATAAATCCAGGCGCAGTCTTGAATGGTCTCTTTAAATCGCCAGTAGCTGGAGTTCCATAAAGATGAATCTTGACAATGTTTGATTCTAAAGCTGACTTGACACCGGAAACACTTTGCATAATCAATGGGTTGGTATATTTCATGTAAATATGCATGAAACCCATCATAGCCAAACCGGTAAAGATTCCCTTGACTTGACCATTGACTTGTTGCAAATCATACTCTTTGACGGTGGTAACAACGGCCCTTGGCTCAGTTTCACCGCTCATAGGGTTAGCTGGTTCGACGTACTTGATGGTGGTCAAATCGTTCTTTTGGTTAATCTTTAACCTGACAATAAAGTATACGAGGAAAGCAATTACTTGACATGAGATGTAGAAGGCTCTCGTGTAGAATAAGACAGTTGGGTCTTCCAAGTCCAACTTTTTGGCAACTTGCATACCAATAAGCATAATAGCGATATTTGTGACAGCTGGATTCATCTTGTTGATCGAGTTGTGGTAGTTGAAGTGAATGGACAGAGAGTAATCGGTGAAAAATTATCCATCAAAAGACAACGCCTTCATTTTCGTTTTCTCTTTTTCTTTTTTTCTTTTTTTCTTTTTTTCTTTTTTTTTTTTTTCTTTTTCTTTTTCTTTTTCTTTTTCTTTTTCTTTTTCTTTTTCTTTTTGGGCGGCTCAGGGCCAGCACAACTGGGAGATATCATTGACTACAATTTGTGATTCAAGAGGGAAGAATATGACACGTGTATTTTACTCTACACTATTCAACTAACTAAAACTATCTAAACATTTGTGAGAACCAATCTTCTGTAGCCGCCACATGTCTTGCATTCTTCTTGATGCTTGAGCATGAGTTCTTGAGCCTTTATTGGATCTTCAACCTCCTTTGGTTCTGGCCAGGATAAGTATTCGTTAGTGTAGTTTGGCTTGTAGTCTTCTGGCAAAATCTCTAATCTCTTACCGTAGTTGTTAACCTTGTTCCAGTCACGGTGGACATTGTACAATGAGTCGGAAAAGTAAGCAAAGCATCTTTCAAACTTCTTTCTGTTCAATTCGGAAGTCATTTGTGGCTTGAAATTGCCGTACTCTTCCCATGCTTGCTTGGGGTTGGTCAAGACAAAGTCGGTGGCTGATTTGATAGCCTTCAAGAAGGCCTTGATCCTTTCCGGGTTTTCAGCAATAAACTTGTCATTGGCAATGTACAAGATGGTGCAGAAACAGCAGCATCCCAATTCAGCCAATTTGTCAATTCTCAACATCTTGGCCTCGTTTGGGTTCCTTCCTTGCTTCTTCAAAGCTTCTTCCAATTCAACCAGTTGAATACATTCAATGCCAATGCCGCAATCAATGCTTCCCTCCAAGATGTACTTGGCAACATTCATACCACATCTAACAGGTGTGTAATCGTCGGGAGTCATACCGTAGTGCTTGGTCAATTCATCAATTTGAATCTTTCCAAATTCACCAACGTACCCAATACGCTTTCCCTTGAGTGATTGGAAATCAGTGGTGATCCCTGACGACTCCAAGTAGCAAACACCAGTGAATGGTTCGTCCAATAATGAACCAATTGAAGTAACTGGGAAACCTCTAGCTTTAGCTGCCAACGTGTGGACCATGGCTTTCAATCCCATGTCCACTTTACCCGAGCCAATTAACTCGGTCACATCTGAGGGGTTGGATGGTTCAAGAATAGCAACGTCTAAACCTTCCCTTTTGAAGTAGCCCTTGGTTTGGGCTAAGAAGACTGGAATGTGGTATGGGGTTGGTTCCCAATTGAGCAAGAAAGTGATTTTGTTAGTAGACATTGTTTAGTAAGGTGGTGTTGTGTTTAACAAATTGAAAAAGGAGGTGGGTGGGAGAGAATTCGACGTCAATTTATAGACTCAGGGGACACTGAGTGGAACCTTGTAAAGGCATATTTTGAAGGAGTTCGTATGATACTATTTATCCAATTAAGGGGCTAGTAAATCCATTGGATAAATATGCAGTAAGAGTTCTTCATTCGCAGCTTCTGTCAAATGCGTGGCGGCATTAAATGTCGGCAGCGCACAAAAACAATAGCTCACTCCTGGTGCAGCTAATTAAAACAAACCTAATACAGATGCTTTTTGCAGTTAGAGGAGTTGCAAACGGATATTATATTTAAAATCTATCTAAACTACTCCTTATACAAATAGCACGCTTCAAAGAAGTTGCTTTCCAATTTCAAAGACTTTACAAAGGTAGACTCATAAATCTCAGTGGAACTGTCCTTAGCTGCATTCAATTTAAGGCAACGCTCCACCTCGTTGTTCAAAAACTGGACCCATTCGACGAAATGATCACCACTATGCAAGTCAATCCAGGTTTGAAACTTTTCAGGCAAACTTTTTGCAATGTTATTAATGTCTTGGTTGTATTCTACCCAACCCAAGTACACCTTCTCCATAACAAAGCAAAATGTGATTAACTCTGAATATGAACTTGATTCGTTAATCAAATACTTCAAATACTCGATGTACTGAGTCACCTCTGGCAAAACAATCGACTCCTTTCTCATTTTAGCAACAGATGATAAATCACGAGTCTCCAATTCTTTCAATGTATCAGCAAAATAATCATTTTCATCTTCAGCTAAGAAACCTATTTGTTTAGCTAATCTCACCGAGGCAGTAGGATCATCACACAAGGCCAAAACTTTTCCAAGAAGGTTGAGGCTGTAGTTGAAAAAGTTTAAGTCTTGAGTGAGGTAAACATACAACTTACTATCAGAGAGGGTACCCAGACATAACTCGTTTGTGAGTGGATGTCTTGTTGCTCTGTTGTACTCCTCTCTGTTTTTGTCAATAAGTTGTTGAAGGTAGGTCATTGCTCGTTCTACTGGCAATTGCAGTGGGTGTTTTGTTGAGTAAGGAAAGCATCTCCTCTTATGCCTACGGGAAATTTGTCGGTTGCATATTTTCCAGATAGCACGCTCATATGCGCTTACAGGACCTAACTCAAAGACAATTGATTTTGATCCGGACAGAGTTACCGGATAGGAGAAATGTAGATTAGAAATACAATAGAGTTTAGGCACTTTGCAATTGTTCCCAACGGGGGTGTCATTATGACATAGTCCAAGCTCTGGTAATGTCGCCCTGTTTTTATTTTATAATAAAGTTGTAACCCCTGCTAGGACCTTCCCATTGAAGTCTCTCCAGAGTGGTCATAAATATTTACATTACCACACTCATCCTGCAATTGAATTGAAATCTACTGTTTTGCTGGCGTTGTTGCAGGGTCTATCGTCAGATGTTTCTCAACCCTATGTACTGCATATAACCAGCGGCCAATAACCAATCAAAAATATCCGCTGATAAAGAGTTTATAAAATTAATCACCTTCTTTTCCAGTATCTTTAGCCAACATGACAGGACTCACACAAGCCCAACTTGACACCTTTGATACCGAGGGGATGATATGTGTAGAAAACTTTTTAAGCCCCCAACAAACTGAAAGACTTTTAGAACAATCAAAACAACTACTCGCACAATGTGATTTATCAAATCACCCCAAGACCACATTTAAAACATCAGATGAGGATCATATCGGTGACCGATACTTTTATGAATCGGCCGATAAGATCTCTTACTTTTTCGATACCGATGCCTTTGACAAGGATGGAAATTTAACCATTGAATTACCTAAATCGATAAATAAAATCGGTCACGGCCTTCATATTAAAGATCCATTATTCAAAGAAGTCACATTTGACAACAAGGTCAAGGATATTGCTCATGACTTGAAATTTACCGAACCACAAGTTTTGCAAAGCATGTGCATTTTCAAACAGCCAGTGGATGCCAAGAGTACTGAACGTGACAACGCCGTACCACCACATAATGATGCCACTTTCCTATACACGTCCCCACAAACCGCAGTCGGGTTCTGGATAGCTTTAGAGGATTGTACTGAGGAAAACGGTTGTTTGTCGTATATACCGGGCACTCACAAGACATATCCCGTATCGAAAAGATTCGTAAGAAAAGACGGACTAAAGCTGGGCTGCACATTTGAACAATTGCAAAAAGACAAACCAGTTGAGGGCGAATACAAAATGGTTCCTTGCAAAGCGGGGTCTTTGATATTGATCCACAACTCAGTGCTTCATAAACTGGAAAAGAACAGGAGCAACAAGTCGAGATATGCTTATGCTTTCCATGTTATTGATGGAGTTGCCGAATATGATGAACGAAATTGGTTACAAGTACCGTATGACGGCGGCTCAAATTTTCTGAGACTATTTTAGATGTCGCAATTCTGCAAAAGGTTAATAGTTTAAATAAATGCAATCGTAAAAGCTATATATATCTATTTTAGTGTGTTATATATAGTGGCTAGCAAGTCAGGGAGTGTGCTTCATTGACCAACTCTCCTTGCCAACTATAGTATTTGGACATGTCAACATGATGCTTCCTTCCATTGGAAGCCTCGTACATGCTGCATCCATATAAAGCGGCATATGGGGGTGTGTAGAGATGAAGTGAAACACTAACTTCATCTTGCAACGGGTTGGTAATCTTGTGAAGTCCAATAGTGTCAGCAATGTACCCAACCTGATCACGGTACAAGGGCGTTTCTTTTTTGCACTTTAATTGTTGTCCAGTATGGTCTGGGATATCATACAACGACTCTCTAAGTTCTCCCTTTAAAATCTTCATACAGCAGTGGGCATTAGCATGGTCATGAATAGCGCTTGATTTACCTGGAGACCATACAAGTATCAACAAGTTGGCATTACCGTTCAAGTTGATAATACCGTTTCTTGAGTAATTTCTCGATTCATCGTGGAGGGCCAAGTGTGCCCAATCGATATCAGAAGATTTATAGTTCTCCATTAGTTCCATGACTTTGTCAACATTTATATCCTCTGAAGACAACCCTTTGCCAGCTAGGAGTTGCTTCAAGTCCATTATGAGTTTGTAAAAGCTTGATGACTTGTCCACATTGTCAATAGTAGTTCCATTTATCTCATGACCGTGATCCATCGATAACGTTAGTTCGGAAGGTTTGGAGTATGGAAATGTTCTGGGTGTGCTGGAAGCAGCTACTGAGCATGAAGTATGTTGTGTAGTTGGCACAGTGTTGCTGCTGTTGGTGTTATTTCTGTCGATAATATTGGATGGATTTAAAAGCATTGCGTATTGTGGCTGTTATAGTTGCGAAGTGTGGTTCAAAGCAAAAGAAAAATATATCAAGTTTGATTCTGTGGGGTAATGTATAGGTTCTAGATAGCAAAAAGTAAAAATAGTATAGCTGTTGCTAAAAAAAAGGAAAGAAGGAAATACAGGTGGTTTATATATCAATGTCTTTTAGACGATCCATTCCATGTTTCCCTTTTTTTGTTTTTTTGTTTTTTTTGATCGGGCCAAAATTTAAAAAGGGAATTTTTCTTTTTTTTTTTTCTTTTATTAAAAGAGGAGCGGCCATTTTCAACCAATCAAAACATTTTCAGCCAAATTAGGGATAGGCGGGCTGCTACCATCTCTATTGTTTAAAAATAGTAATTTCAATTATTTTTAGACCGCCGCTGACGTGTTGTTACCAAAATACAACCCCCCCCTCCCCGCTATATAAATAAAATTACTACATTTAATTTTTTAAAACTGTTCAGAAGTGATGTTTACACTTTCAATAAATAATTCTTGGCTCTGGAATATGAGGGGGGGAGTAGTTGGCAATAGGGTGACTTTCCAATGCAGATTCTAAAACGCCTGATGTTTGAGGGAAGAAGTTGTTAGTTTGAAATCTCGGTTGAAGCCGAGGGTATTCGCCATCTGTTCCCTTCTACTATGTGTGTAGTAGAGAAGAACAATAGCTTTGATACCCAATAGCTAACACGTGGATAAAGGTTTGCCTTGTGATATTTTGCAAAAACAAATGAATACGTGTTAAATCCATGAATGAGCAATAGAATGTGTGGACTCAGAAAGTTAGATTTGTTTTTTTAGCGTATAAGCTTTGTGAAATAAACCATGCTGTGCTTAAACAAAGCAAGGGTGACATCACCATGTAAACTCTATTGTTTTGAATTGTAGTCGGGAGAACACACAATTTGAAACGCACCTGCTCCAAAATACGACTCCCCTCAGGTAGTAACATTAGATGCGATTTTGCTCTTCCGTTCAGCATACATCCACTCTTTCCGGGTCAACAACCAACTGTAGCACTTCTACTTCTCCTTTAAATGAGACTGCCAAAACGATCAATAAATGGCTTTTCTGTTTTATGTTACACGTAAAGTGTTAATTTAATTAATTTAACACAAAACGAAAAAATTAATGACCGCTGCTCTAACAAAAATTCATTTTTTCTCGTTTGCCGTCGGGGCCGCCTGATGGGAATACCAAATTAGGCAATTTTAAATTAACTCAATACAAAAGAAATAATATCTCAATTTAGATCTTGCGTTTAAAATTTTAATGCTTCTGATAAAACGTGGAACAGCACTGTTTGCTTTTCACAAGGCAACAATGGTTACACGGTTGTTACAAATTAAAAGTGGCCTGAGATCGTAGCGCTTTGAAGAAAATGTTGCCGCATGAAGAATTGGCGTCGGCAAATGGTGTTAAAGCGACCGTATCATTGCCGCTGCTTCTTAATAGTTACTTTAAGCGACACCGAGGTAGAAAAAGCAGTAGCTAGTCTGTTCTATGGAATTCATGGAGTGCTGTAAGGCAAAAAGCCAAACAAATGTCAAGCGTCACCCGCTTCTGTATAACGTAGATACCCCATGTATTACTTCAAAGTATTTGTCTTTTTGGGTGAGCAGGACATTCAGCTTAATCTCTGTTGAAAACCGCAAAGCTTAATTGTAGGAGAGGTACTTGTTCTACTTCCTCCCCCCCTCCAATCGGAACCTCAGTCCCGCTTTTTCAAATGTACCTTTGCTATGGAGACGCCGTGAGCTACTCCGTATTCGCATCCACGCCGCACGAGGATCGGGGAGACAGAAAAAAAATGTGGATCCCATTTCTTTTTATAAAGGGCAAATTTCCACCCTCATCTCCTACATCACCAACACCTTACGATTGCAAACCAAATCCCCCCATTTGCAGCCATTTCTGGAGTCTACCACTTTTACAACTCGAACCCTTTAGCAGATAACTATAAAATAGCTCAGCCAGAAAACGGGTTTTGTGTATTAATTAATTTCCCCTGTCAGTAAAAATTGCAACATATCAGGTGACGTGATGAGTAGCCACAGTCATTCGGGCACATCATCGGCACAAGAAGTAGATGTGGTTCGCAAAAATGTGTCCGATGAGGACGCAAACTCAAATCTGTCAAGAAGAGCAGCAGCAGCAGCAGAAACAGTTGATAATAATTCACAGCAATCCTCCAGAACACAAGGATCTTCTTTACAAAACCAAAATGCTAATAGAGTGATGGACTATGATTCAGTTATTTCGTCAGTAGCGTCAACCTCAAAGGAGTACGAGCATTTGCAAGAACAACTTCGAGGGTCAAAGCCAGTACCTCGAGAAGAATCATGGTACAGGAGGTTTATAGTTGGCAACTTGATCAAAAACTTCGTGCCTGCTTATTTCGTTTCAGTAATGGGTACAGGAATATCATCAACAATCTTGTATAGGTTCCCATTTCCAGCTCATTGGCTAGAAGTGTGCTCGTACATCATGTTTGGCATATGCTGCATCTTATTCATTGTTAATGTGATTTTGTTCGTCATGCAATGCATATATTTCCCCCAAAAGTTGAGAGCATATCATGTCGACCCGTTGCAGGCGTCTTATATGGGTGCTTTTTCCATGGGATTTACAACTATTGTAAACTATACTTCCTTCATCACCAAAGGCCATCACATGTATTTGGTGTGGACGTTGTGGTGGATATCTGTCGCTTCTGCAGTCTACACTGCTTTCCCAATCGTGTACTTTAGTTTCTTTTCCAAATTGAATGCAGTACAATCTGACTCGAAATTGAATGCTACGTTGTTGCTTCCTATTGTGGCGCTAACAGTGACGTCGTCCTCGGGTCATCTAATCGAGTTGAATATGTATACATTGAATCAAATTGTCATTACCATGATTGTCAGTTACATGTTGTGGGCATTGTCAATTTGTTTGGCGTTTGCAATCATCACTATATACATATGGAGGTTGATCATGCACAAGATTCCCCCAACGCAGTTGATATTCACTGGATTCTTGCCAGTGGGTTTCTTGGGCCAATCGTCATACAGTATTTACTTATTCGGCAATAACTTGAACCAGCTAATCCCGGAAGAATTAGTGTACGGAAAAATCTTCCTATGCATTGGAGGGTTCCTAGGATTGTTTATACTTTCATTTGGCTACTACATGACATTTATAGCTGTTGTGTCTATCTTTTCAAAGATACGACCATTTGCCAAAACCCTCAATGATCAACATACCAACAAGTACGGACTTTTGAAACACCACAAGGGTTTTTGGGCAATGACTTTCCCTTTATGTACCATGTCTTTGTCCAACACCGAAGTTGGCAAAGGTGGTGTAGGGAACTACCCCTTACTAGCTTTTAAAGTTATGGGTGCCGTTTTTGCTGTTGCCGGTATTGGTATAACTATTGCTTGTCTTGTGGGGGTTGCCGTATACACAAATGGGCTTATAAAGGGCGAATTGGAAGTAAAGTATAAAAAGTATAAACAGAGAGAAATGGTATAGACTAGCTTAGTTTAGCATTTAATAGATTAATTTTGATAGAGATTTGAAATACGCGCATTCAAAAGAATTGAAAAATTAGCCTCCTTTCTCAGCACGAATCACCAACAATGTCATCAAAGGTGGAAGACGAATATAGAACAGGGCCGTTTAGACCATATGGTGTTCAATCAAGAATACGGAAAGCTAATGAGCTCTCGAAAAAGGATTTTGGAATACTCCTTTTCCTCACATCCATTTCCTTCCTACGTATTTACAAAATTTACCAGCCGGCAAATATTGTGTTTGATGAGATCCATATCCTAAGATATGTACAACATTACTTCAAGGGGACCTTTTCAGTTGATGTTCATCCGCCATTGGGTAAACTTATTTACTTTATATTGGCCAAATTGGGACATTTCGATCCTGACGCTGACTTTGAATTCATCGGACAACCCTACTCCAATGTTCCATACACACTCATGAGGTTGTTTTCCGGGGTTTGCGGCATTCTTACCGTGAACCTTGCGTATTTTACTGTACGTCTTGATTATGACTACTTGGTTTCCTTGTTCGCTGCAGCATTAGTTTTGTTTGAGAATTCGTTAACCACACAATCGAAATTCATCCTACTAGACTCGGCATTGATTTTGGGGCAAGCATTAACTATCTACTACTTTAGTCTTTTGTGCAGAGCCGAGCCAGAAAGACAGTGGTGGTGGGTTTACGTGATTGCAACGGGATTGTCACTAGGCTGGACAATCTCGATAAAGTTGACGGGATTCTATACCCTTTTATGGGTGGGAATCTTTACCTTGTTAGATTCGTACCAGCTACTTGGTGACTTAACAATAAGTACCTTCAAGTGGTTCAGAATTCTATTCTACAAGTTCTTCACGTTATTGATTTTGCCATTGACAATTTATTTATCGTTGTGGAAGGTGCATTTTGATTTATTACCATTTGAGGGGCCAAATAGTGGATTGATCTCGCCTAGACTAAGATCCACTTTCCAAGGCTATAGTGCATCACCTTTAGAGGTATTATATGGTAGTACTGTCACAATCAAACACAATAGCCTCGAGAAATATCTTCATTCGCATGATAAAATTTACCCCAGGGGAACACAATTACAGCAAGTGTCGTTGTACGGTCACGAGGATCCAAATAACGAGTGGGTGGTTGAATTGCCACGCAAGTTCTACGAACACAAACACTTTAATCAAACAAGAGCTGTGAAGGATGGTGAGTATATTAGATTATACCACAAGGCCACAGGGAGATACCTACATGTGAGTGACGTGAGACCACCAATCTCCGAACACGATTATTCAAAAGAAATGAATTGTAATGCAACAAGGGGGTTATTAGGCAATACCGAGTACGAGTTCAAGTTACGAATTCTAAACAAAAAGCCCCATGCCGTTAATAACTTACCAATGATCAAGTTGCGTGCTACCGAAACAGTCTTCATGTTAGTTAGCAGGGATCAAAAATGTAACTTGATAAGTCATCATGACAAACTTCCAAGCTGGGGTGATTACCAAAATGAAGTGTTGTGTGTTCTGGAATCAACCATCCCCAATTCATTATGGTACATTGAGACCAATCTGCATCCCAGATTGGACGACAAATCCCCACACGCAGACTTTGGACATGTGTCCTTTTGGACCAAGGTTTGGGACCTTCATCAGGCCATGTTTAGAGTCAATTCTGATTTTACTGCGCCACATAAGTCCAGTTCGAGACCTGAATCCTGGCCATTTTTACTCAAAGGTGTTGCCTATTTCCAGAGCTTGCCACAGTATACAAGTTTGACAGAACATACAAGTCAGATTTATTACTTGGGTAACGTGGTTACCTATATATTAAGTTTCATTGTTATACTCATCACTATGATCAAGCTTGCATTCCATGGGTTACGCAATTTAAATCCATACGTGTTTTACCTTGATCCTGAGGAGAAACGAATGTTTTATACCAATACATTGCAGTACGTTGCTGGATGGATACTTCATTATTGGCCGTACTTTTTCATGCGTCGTAACCTTTATGCTCACCATTACTTGCCAGCACTATATTTTGCTATATTGAATTTGGGCGAGTACTTGAATTACCAAAACAGATACGTACGGGTTCCATTAATGGTTGCAGTACTTGCAACTGCTGTATACTGCTTCGTTGAATTCACACCTCTTATTTATGGATCTGAATGGACAGTCGCTAAGTGTGTTGCCCATAAATGGTTTTCAAGTTGGAACATGGATTGTATGACATACGGAGGTTAAAACACAATACATTATTTCAATCATACATAAATTTTATACATTACCTTAGACATTTTACATTCTTGTTTGCGAGATGCCTGTAGCCAAGTCCTTAATCAAATCGTCAACTTTGATCAATAACTCATCCTTCTCTTTGATCTTCTCTTGTCTCTCTTGTTCCACTTGTTTCAACTCCTGACTCAAATCAGCAATCAATTTCAATTGGGCTTCGGGAGTGACACCAATTCCAGGTAGTGAATCAATCAACATGTTGATTTGTCGACTTTTCAATACGATATCAGTTGCCAATTCATCAACTGCGCATTCAAAGTCTTCTTCAGTAGCTTCAGGAGGCTTCGGCCCCTCCTTCGTTTCCTCGTTGGCTTCATCTTTGGGCAGTTGCTGCACAGACTGTGGTGATTGCTGCTGCTGCGTCTGCTGCTGCTGTTGTTGTTGAGGAGTCGGTGCATTGGCGGCTCTGTTGGATACTGACGTTGGATCCTCATCTAACAACGCTGGCTTTGCATGGATATTGACATAGTGTACAGTAGCATTAAATTGCTCTATAAGCTGATCTAGACAGATCTGTAGCTGTGTTAGCCTATCAGACATTGGAAAGTGGGAATATGCTGATGTATGCTAAACAACTGGATCTTTTTCTTGTCAAAGGTTCATAATTTGTGACAAACAAATGCGACAATTAAAGTCGTGCACCCTCTCAATTTGCATTTTTCTCTTTCTCTTTCTCTTTCTCTTTCTCTTTCTCTTTCGTATCCTTTTTTTGTGGTGGTTTTAAATTTCTCTCATATTCTTTGTGAATCATCTTATTAAGATAAGGAGACTTGGTGTGTGGCAAGGGTGACCTAGGCAGATCCACAATTTTTTTAAAAAAAACAAAAACCAGACCCACAGTTGCCACTCATCTGTATTCCATAATAACATATACAACTACACTTTATCATGCCACCGCGTAGACTTGTGGCGCCAGTATGGCAGGACGATAGCGAGGTATCAGAATGTGTCATTTGTCACACGACATATAGCATATTTCACAGGCGGCATCACTGTAGAAAATGTGGGAGAGTGGTGTGTGGTGACTGTTCGTCTCAGGAGATGCACTATTTTGACAATACACCAATATCAACGCAACCAGACGTATCTTCATCACCACCTTCACACTCCAGTGGCGGCGATAGATCACGCGTGCACCTATCGAAACCAAATGAGTTGTACAGAACTTGCGATGAATGTGCCAATGAAATTATCATGATTCGACGAGCTTTATTTGAAGAACCCAACTCGGTGGTGAATCAAAGTGATGAAGATAACACGAATGGGATCAAGTACACGTCGCGAGAACGTACACATCAACTACCGTGTTCTTCATCGACCACGTCCTTGATTAGGCGTAATCAAGACGGTAATAGCGATAGTAACTTGTGTCCTGTTTGTGCAACTGATCTTTTGAAGGAGTATATTTCCGATAGAAAGAATGTGGAGCTCATATCGAATGATGACTTTGAAAAATTCAAGGAGCAGCATATTAACGAGTGTCTCGTGGCATTTGATTTCAACACTGATCACTCGACTAGATTTTCCCCAGAACTGAATCCGAGGAACAAGATGTTGGTGTACAATATACCGCCAATCCCAAAACCACAATATGAAAATATAGGCGTTGCTGAATCAGCAAGCGCAAGTTTGGACACATCGCTTCTTTTACCTCAGGAGAAAGTTGAGGAAGAAGAATGTGTTATATGCCTTGAGGATCTCAAACCAGGAGATAAGGTTGGCAGATTGGAGTGCTTATGTGTTTTCCATTACAAATGCATCAAGGATTGGTTTAATAAAAAGGGTTATGGCGAATGTCCGGTTCATTTCTTACATAAATAAATTACTAAATGTATATGTATGTGTTTACCTTTCTTCACGATCATCATCTCTTCTTCTTTTGCCTCGCTTGTCGTGTATTTCCTTTGTCTGTCTGATAGCCTCAGCAGTAGCTTTATCTACGTGAATGTGCAACGCATCGAGTACTTCTTTTGGCGGTTTATCTTCTTTCGGAAGCTTCTTTCCCAATGCATTCTCAATTCGCAAGTACATTTCCAAGTCGTATTGTGTGATCAAGGAGATGGATTTACCTGACCTTCCCGCCCTCGCCGTTCTTCCTACTCTGTGAATGTACGCTTTCGAGTCCGTTGGAATATCATAGTTGATGACGAGATCGACCAGGGGTATATCCAAACCTCTTGCTGCTACATCGGTAGCAACCAAAATGTTGGCTTTGGAGGACTTGAATTTATTCAAGGAACCTAATCTTTGAGCTTGTGATAATTGACCATGTAAGGGAACGGCATTGAATCCCAATATTCGTGCCAACAATGCTGTTCTTTGAGCATGCGCCACGGTTCTTGTAAACACTATAGTTGACTTTCCCATAAACTCATTCAACAAATGAATCAAAATAGTATTCTTGTACCCATCATTGACCAACATCATCGATTGCACTAAATTGTCAGCCGTCTGGTACTTTGTCGACACGGCAACCCTGACTGGATTGTGTAAACTTGCTCTTTGCAACTTTTCAATCTTACTCGTCATTGTTGCCGAGAACAAGTATGTTGTCCGCTTCGGTGGGATCACCTTCAAAATTTTATCCAATGCTGGTCCAAAGTCCATGTCCAACAATCTGTCAGCTTCATCCATGACAAGATACTTCAAATTCTTCAAGCTAAACCCTTTGGTATGTTCCAAATGATCCATTATTCTTCCCGGAGTTGCAACTACAATGTGGGGTTTTCTCATCAATTCCCGTGCCTGGTCCATCATATCCATTCCACCAACAATACACACCGATCTTAGTCCCATTGTAGCACCGAGTGCGTCAAACGTGTCTTTTATTTGAAATGCCAACTCTCTGGTTGGCGCAAGGACTAAACCAAAGTACGGTGTTTGTGCATGCCAGAGGGCTTGCAAGATTGGAATGGCAAATGCGGCTGTTTTACCCGAACCAGTAACTGCTAAGCCAATGATATCCTTCCCTTCGAGGGCATGGGGTATGGCTTCGGATTGAATTGGGGTGGGTTTGGTGAATTTCATCTGTTGAATAGCTTCAAGCAAGTCTGGAACTAGATTTAGTTCAGCAAAGGTGTTGAATTTAAGTTCAGCATCGGGGTCTACAGTAGTCTCCGTGGTGGGTGCTGCAGATGTACTTCCCTTTTTATCACCTTCTACTTCTTGTGACGATTCTTTTGACTCTTGTAATTGCTTCTGCTTGAGTAAAGCTTGTTTCTTTATCTTTTCGGCTAGCTTTTTTGTAGCATCGGATGATTTGCTTTTTTTATGGACCCCCTTTGACGACATACTTGGTTGATGGAAGATGGTGATGGAAAGTAGGAATAAGTTTTCCTTCTTTTTAATTTTTTTTTTTTCTTCTTTTGTGTTGTGGTGATTTCAAACGATGAGATGGATTTTATTTTTCCACCATTTACTTCTACATTTTCTACAATAGAAACAGTTACGTAACAACACCATGGCCAAGAGGAGAACAAAGAGAAGAACCCATCAGAAAGCTACTGAAGAAGAGGTTGCCAAAATACCCAAGTCAATGGTGATCCATCTAGGTTCATCCTTGAAAAATCATTCGTTATCTCAATTAGTATCTGACTTTAGAAATGTCATGCAACCACATACTGCCATCAACTTGCGAGAACGCAAGTCCAATAAATTAAAAGACTTTATAGTTATGTGCGGACCGTTACATGTTTCTGACTTGTTCATTTTCAACCAAACATCTTCGGGCAACATCACTTTGCGTATGGGTAAATTGCCAAGAGGTCCCACATTGCAATTTATGGTCAATACGTATTCCTTATGCAAAGACGTGAGAAAGATCTTGAAACACCCCAAATCTGTTGGTAAAGATAGTTCTGAGTTCCACCAGCCACCGTTGTTGGTGTTGAATGGATTTTCCAACAATGTCAAAGAGATGCCCATGCATGAAAAATTAATGGTTACCATGTTTCAAAACATGTTTCCACCAATCCAACCACAAAACACCAAAGTCAATGCCATCAAGAGAGTTTTGCTAATTTCCAAGGACAAAGCCACGGGTGAGATTGAGCTTAGACACTACTCGATAAATACCAAGCTTGTTGACGAGAGCAAGAGTGTCAAGAAACTTATTCAATCTCATCACAACTTGAAGAAAAAGTTGCCCAAGATGACCAATGCCCAAGACGTGTCAGACTTGATCTTGGATCCTTATGCAGTTGGTGGATTGACTTCTGACAGTGAAGTGGAAGATGATGCAGTCGTTGAAGTGCAGCACGAAGAATTTCTTAAAAGACAATCACAGCAGAATCAGGACCAACCTCAACAACAAGAATCAATTACCACCGCCAAGAAAAGAGCTATTAAATTGATTGAATTGGGACCAAGGATAAATATGTCGTTACTCAAGATTGAAGAAGGTCTCGTTGGAGCATCAAAAACACTTTACCATTCTTCTGTATCCAAATCAGCAAAAGACGCCGATGAACTTGATGCAAAGCATAAGTTGAAGGAAAAGTTGAAGCAAGAAAGAAGAGCAAAACAACAAGCCGCTGTGCAAGCCAAGCTTGAGATAAAACAAGCAAAGAAGCTTAGAAAAAAGGCACGTTTTGCTGATGAGGATGGTGGAGAGGACAAGAGTGGTGATGATGACGAGGAGGATGATGACGAGGATGCTGATGAAGATGAAAACATGCCTGAAATTAACGCTGAAGACTATGAGAACGACAGTGATTTGTACAGTGACGTAGAGGTATAGATGAAAACATGTATGCTTTTACTTTGTTTAGCTCCCTATTACTAATTACAACCTGTAGACTCAGTGTCTCTCCAACTCTGATACCAATGTTTCGATTTTACGTCGTATGTTGATTATTCGAACGCTCAAGTTCAACGCCAGGCCAAAATCTTCTTGACTAGTCTTTAGCTGCGATGGTGTCAATGCACCGAATTGCAAAATCGGATCCCTATATGTGATGGTAGCTGTCTTTTCAGTTTCAGTCTTGGCGGTATTTGCATTTCGATTCTTGCGATTCTTCAACTCTGAAGCTGGTGTTATGTCATTGGTAAATTGATCATCGTCAACAGCATCACCAGGTGAGGTTTTCGTTCTATCAACAATATTGAATTCATCCGATTCGTCCATGAGCCCAACGATTTTACAAGCATCGTAGCTTCGCATGTCGAATGTGTCTTTGCCAAATTTGGTCTTTTCACTCTGAAAGTTAGCTCGGCTCAAATTGAGAAATCCATTTATGAAATGCAGTCGACAAGCACCTGTCAACTCTTGATATTCATTTAGTAGATTGAGGAGTTGGATGGTTTTCTCATCTTCATCGATCGATGGCATCGTGATAGTTGATCTGTCCGGAGGCAGGTATCGCTTGAAATGTTTTCGCGCAATTTTTCAGTTCTTCTGTTTTCCAGTTTCGCACCGAACTTGTTCCTCTCCCCCACAAATGAGAAACTACAAACCATACTTTGACTTAATCGTTGAAATCTATATCTTATAATTTGTACAAATTTTTCAATCTACTGAATTCTTCTGGAGGTAATATCAGATTAAATCCAAATTCACCGTCACGCGATGCTGATGGCGTGTTTGAAGAATGAATCAATTTAACCTCTGCATCACTGCGTTCCTTTTGCTGCATAAGATGACCAAATTCGTGAAGACAGTAAATCATTTCCTCTTCTCCAATTTGTCTTTTACCGATTCTGTCTCTAGCATACACTATTTCACTCAAGTCATGGAGGATGTTGGCAGTGAGGCCCCAAACATCGTATATCTTCTCGTTCGTCTCCTCGTCTGTGCGAGAACCAAGTCTTCCCCATGAGGTCAAATCCTTTTTCTCCTTTTTGCTATTTGCTTGCTTGGTCTCCCTTGGGTCTAGTTTACTGTCTCTAGTTGGAGACCTTGATCTGGAAGGAGATATAGATCTTAATGGAGTCGCATTTGGGGGTGTTATTCTGCCCTTGTCAGACTGGTCCAACTCTTCTCCCAACTCCTCATCTTCCAGTGCCGATAGGTCTTTTATATGTTTCAACCATTCAACTTCATTAGGGTTGTTTTGCAAAAACGTGTATGATCGCAAGGACCATGGTATACCTCCCCATTTCATATGATAAGAAACACGTTCCAACGCTTCACTTGCTGGTTCATCAACTACTGGATACAAGAAATCTTTTAATGGGCATGAAAATATCGACGAGCTTTCACCGGGGTTCAAAACGAGATTCAACCTTGACGCAATTGTCGCTTCGACATCGCCCTCGTTGTTGAACTTCATAAATCCAACGCACGGTCTAACACATGAAAAGGTACGAGACAAGTAACTGGGCAATAGTGTGATGTGTTCTATGCTGATTCCCAACTTCGCCAACGAATCGTCATGTGATGACAAACCAATCTCTTCGTGCATTTCTCTTCGACTAACCGTCCATTCCGACTCAAGTCCATTATCGGCTTTTCCACCGGGTAAGGCTACATGGCCAGGAAAGTTCCGTAACTTGGATGATCTTTTGGTTAGAAGAACCCTGAGCTCTCCCATGTTGCCTAAAAATAGTAAGATAAATACTGCCGATCTTCTTGTTATGGGAAGTCTATGCCATACTGAGGTTTTGCTGCCGCGATAAGCGGGAGCCACGTAGTCACGGAGACTCCCAATGAAATCTACTTCTGGACCCTTTGTCATCATATATATATATATATATGTGTGTGTGTGTGTGTATAGGTGGTGCTGGTTTGCAATGCCAATATCTAGGTGGAAAAAATTCAGATGCACACACACAAGACTGCAGAAGAAGCGGTCTGATTCAGAGTGGTTTATTTTTTTTTTCTTCTCTTTGGCATCCTCGGTCTCTCTGTTATTAGATTGAAATTACCACTACAGTTCAAGTAATCACAAGGTAACATCGTTTAAGTAAACAATGGAGATTAGGAGATACGACCAATTGGATCGCGTAGAATGAAAAGTGTGTAGTTTGTGTGTGTGGGTGACTCTCAATTACCCCGACTTTTGGGGACTAAAGGAAAATTCCCCTCTCCCAAATTATACGGTGCGAATGTCTATTGAATTGAGGGGAAATATTTGAAATGAAAGTTGCGATTACGGCCATGACAATGTAACTTGGAACAGTGACTAGGAGAGACGGGGAAATTGATATGAAAGTAGGAGGAGGCAGCACAATTCAGGACGACATGTGACGTTGATGCTCATTTGATTGACAGTGTAGGAAATAAGGAGCACGCGGTTGTTCCAGCGTTTATCGAAGGGGTCTATCTACAGTCCATAGACTCTTTTTCATCCATGTGTTGCCATAGATTAATAGAATAATAATGATCTAGAATACTAAGTAGAGAAAATAGTTGTAGATTCATGGTTTTCTATTGGGTCTTTTAGGTGTTTGAATTTTGCAACTATTCTATACCAAATTCTTTGACTGTTTTAGAGAGCCGAGTTAAATTAAAGTATATGAAGGTGTCATCTAGTTTTATTAACTTTCTGCTTTACAAACCGCAACAACCTTTATCTAAATCTCATATCTCTTTTCCAACAAGGACTGTACAGTTGCAGCAGACAGATTGTTGTGTCTCCTTCTGTTGCGTTTTGTAGCCGGAAACTGACATTTATATAGCCGAAGCCAACACGCACAAAAAAAAAAGTATACTCCATAGCCGAAGCGGTACACAAAACGTCGAAGTAATTTTTTTACCCTCACTCATGCTTTTATGTTCTGTCCTGTGTCAATACGAATTTGATTGAAGTTACGTCATAATACACAGCGACCTAGTTTTGTAGAGTCCATCCACACTTCATGCATTACGTTACATTATTATGTATGATTTTGAGTACAATGCTTCCTATTGTAGTTGGTACTCACCCCATCAATTTCGCGAGAAGTGCTCGTAACAATTACACGTCCAGCGAAACAAACGTGAAATACCCTTGTGTAAGGTGAAAAAATTCCCTTTGGTGTGGCTTTCCTGTTCCAGACTGGTACTATACATAAACATTCTAAAGTAGAGGTAAAGTCAAAGCTTTTCTATCACTTAATTTGCCTTTGATGTTGAAAAAGAGTTGAAGATGTTGAAGTAAAAGAAGCTCGTAGACAATCGTAAATGTTTCTATAAATAATTTCGTATTTGTAATTCTATTATTAGGCTTGCAATTTTTTTTTTCTGCATATTATCAGTTGCTATTTGCATCACTTTTTCTTTGATGTGCTCTAGATATAAGATGCCTCTATCTTCCTCCTCACTGGCCAGGCGTAAGTCATTCCTGTTCAAACTAATCCTTGCTAGAATACTTATTTTAAGTCTTCGATTGCTTCAAAGTTAAATTGTTTTTTTTGTTGTATCAAAATGGCTTCAGGACTCCCTGATTGTTAAAGCTTGGATCTGTTGCGATTCTCTTCTTACGAGTTATAATATTTACTGCAATGATCCTGAAAATACGCGTGGGTAAGAAGATAGAGGCTATACAAAGTAGCACACCGGAGTATAAAAATAGAACGCGGCAACGTATAGACAGCCGTTAAGTGTTATTTTTCTTGAGTGGTAGTGGCTTAGATGATTGCTCTCTTATTTGCTTTTGTATTGTATTTATAGGTCAAAAGTTGCATTTGGTTTATTTTTAGTTTAGTCATCTCTCTCATAACTCTCATCGCTCTTTACTTTCATTTGCTATTGTTAGTTGTTCTATTTTTATAGGTTAATTGGGGATTTGTGTAATTCCATATGTCAATTGTGTAATATTCTTTGCTTTCTATGTTCTTGAGTTTCTTTTTGACAGTTATTTTTTTATTTTTTCACTTTTAGGCCATTTCATTTAAAATGGTTGTGAAATTCCCTTGAAAACAAAACGATGGATTCTCTTCTTTCTTTTTGGTTATTATAAACAGAGCAACGGTCGTCGTTATCCTTTTCTTCGTTTTTTTTTCTTTGGGTTATCGTTTTTCATTTCATTGGCTGCAATTTTGGATTGTTTGTTTCATTCATTATCAACAAAGTTTAATACACCAAATTTAGTACTAGGATAGCAAAACAACAACGATGCATAACTATCATCTTTTACTTTGGTTCATTTCCTTAGTTTCATTATCCCATTGTTGGTCACCAACCGATTCTTATGCCCCTGGAAAGGTCCAATGTCCAAGCTCGGATATTTTGAGAGTTGCCGACAGTATATCAGATGAGGAGGATCAGTGGTTGAGAGGCAGAGACGAGGTCACTAAGAAAAAGGTTGTTGACTATCTCAAATATGCCAATATGACAGATTTCAACCCAGAAGATTATGTCAATAACTTGAACAAGAGTATACACATTGGATTAGCATTTTCTGGTGGTGGTTATCGTGCCATGTTGAATGGTGCCGGCCAAATGAGTGCCTTGGATGAAAGAACCAAGGGTATTCACGGTAAAAATGCCAGCGGGTTAAATGGATTACTTCAAGCCAGTACTTATATTGCAGGGTTATCTGGAGGAAGTTGGTTGGTTGGATCCATTGTTTTCAACAACTTTACATCGGTGCAAGATATTGTTGACCACAAGACTGATATTTGGAACTTGAAACATTCGATTGTCAATTATGGTGGAATCAACGTCGTAAAGACTTTGGATTATTATAAAGGAATTTCTGATGACTTGAACAAAAAACAGGATGCTGGATACGAGTTGTCCTTGACTGACACGTGGGGAAGAGCATTATCACACCAATTCTTATCCACTCTTGATGACACAGGTGCATCATTAACTTTTAGTTCAGTTCAAGATTGGGATGTATTCAAAAATCACGAGATGCCATTCCCAATTTTTGTTAGTGACGCTAGAGCCCCCCACACCAAGATTATCAGCATTAACTCAACCCTTGCCGAGTTTAATCCATTTGAAGTTGGAAGTTACGACGCCAGTGTGTACCAGTTTACTAAGATGAAGTACTTGGGAACTCAATTATCCAATGGAGAAAATAACGGAACATGTATTAGTGGATTCGATAACGCTGGATATATCATGGGTACGTCATCAACTTTGTTTAACCAATTTGTGTTGAAAATCAACACCACTTCATTATCGTCAACCATCAAGTCTATTATCACTGAAATCTTGAACGACGTGTCTAACGAAGAAGAAGACGTGGCGTTGTACTACCCAAACCCCTTTTACGAAACTGATGTCGGTACGTCGTTTAACATAGCTAATAATGACACCTTCACCCTTGTTGATGGTGGAGAAGATGGCCAAAATATCCCATTATCGCCTTTGATTCAACCAGTTAGAGATGTTGATGTTATCTTTGCCTTTGATAATTCAGCTGATACTAAGAAATCATGGCCAAATGGAAAGTCATTGACGCAAACTTTTGAAAGACAGTTTACTGAAACCGGAAACGGTACAATTTTCCCCTATGTCCCTGATATCAATACCTTCATCAACTTGAATTTGACTGCTAGACCTACATTCTTTGGCTGCGACGCAAAGAACTTGTCGACCTTGTTTCAACAAAGAAACATTAGCTTCACCAACGAGTCAAATCCTTACACTGTCTACGACTCACCATTGATTGTTTATACCGCCAACCGTCCATTTTCACACTGGTCCAACACATCGACATTCAAATTGAAATACGATGAAGATGAACGTAATGCCATCATTCGTAATGGGTTTGAAGTCGCTTCAAGAAACAACTTGACTTTGGACTCCGAATGGCCTGCCTGTGTAGGATGTGCCATTATCAGAAGACTGCAAGAGAGAAATGGTGAAGAACAATCAGACCAATGTAAGAAATGCTTTGAAAGATATTGTTGGGACGGAAGTTTGGATAGTGAAGCTGCTCAAGATAAATTGAATTTCACTGACCAGGGAACTACAAGTGGCAACGAAGGTACAAAAGTTAGTGGATCAAACGTGATTTCCTTCAGTTGGGCATTGTGGTTGTGTTCATTGGTCATAGTTGGATTCTTTGGATTCCAATAAGTAGGAATACATATACAGTAGAGTTAGATAGTACATAGTATAAAAATCAATAATTTTAATCAATACAAATGAGCTTTGTCACAAAACTGCATAGGAATTGTCCTTTCTTTCAAAGGCCGAAAACGAAACGTAAAGCATCTTCGTTTACTAACAATAACAAAGTTTCAATATCAAGGGTCCTTCCCAAAGAAGAGTTAATTCCGACTCGAATAAAAAAAGGTTTACTAAATACAAATAAAAGCTTGTCTGATAATTAAACTACTAAAAGCGCAAATGAAATAAGTCAAGCAATTTATTTATAGAAGCCTCATCCACGCCAATACTTTGTTCTGTAGTCATTCTTGCTTCGTTTCTTTTTTATTTTTCTAAGCCAAAACGTGGCTTTGGACGGCATCAACAAACGTGTTTGGCAGCGTTCACTAAAACTCTTTTTGCTTCAAAAATTACGAACGGTTTTGCTCTGTTGTTCTCTGCGCCTTGACAAAGACCGTCTCACTTTATTGAAACTGAAGAAATTCATGATATAATCATGATATAAGGTAGTTTAGGAGGGCTTTTTTGAAAACGGACATTAGGTGAGAACAGCAATAGCAACAGCAATAGCAACAGCTATAGCAATAGCAATAGCAATGAACTTTTGTAGGGTGGCTTAGGCTGAAAAAAATGACGCGTTAAGAACTAAAGGTTCATTCGATTAGTAACACCAGACTTCTTTTAAAATGAAATACATTCATTTTAGTTTATAGTTTTAAAATCAAAAAAGAAATTTTTGTTTGTTTTCTTCTCGGGTTTTCTGTTCTTTCTTTTTTATTGTTTTTATTTTTGTTTCGGCCTTAGTGACGTTCCGTTTTTTTTATTATGTTTGTGTAATACAGGGCTTTTGGTCTTCATATATAAAATAGATAAATATATAAATGTCCACTAAATCATCATCAAAGGAAAACAAAACGATGATCGTAAGACTGTTTTTTTTTTTAATTCTTTTTTTTCATTTTCATTTAGACGTTTGTATTTGTTAGATTGGGGTTTTTTGTTCATTCATTACTGTCATTACCCCACATTAAACAATCTTTAGAGTAGCCAAAAATGCAAGCCCACCAGGTATTGATTTGGCTCATCTCCATAGTATCACTATCACAATGTTGGTCGCCTACAGATTCGTATGCCCCTGGACGCATAGAGTGCCCGGGCTCGGATATTTTGCGAGTCGCCGACAGTATATCAGATGAAGAGAGTGAGTGGTTAAGCGGAAGGGACGAAGTTACTAATGAAAAGATTGTTGAGTTTCTCAAGTATGCCAACATGACAGATATCAACCCAGAAGACTATGGCAAGTTAAACAGGAGCATACACATTGGGTTGGCGTTTTCTGGTGGTGGTTACCGTGCCATGTTGAACGGGGCAGGGCAATTGAGTGCTTTGGACGAAAGAACGAAAGGTCCTAATGGAGGAAATGCCAGCGGGTTAAATGGATTACTTCAAGCCAGTACTTATATTGCAGGGTTATCTGGAGGAAGTTGGTTGGTTGGATCCATTGTTTTCAACAACTTTACATCGGTGCAAGATATTGTTGACCACAAGACTGATATTTGGGATTTGGAACACTCGATTGTTAATTATGGTGGATTGAATGTCTATAAAACCTACAAGTACTACAAGGGTATCTCAGAGGACTTGGATGCTAAGAAAGATGCCGGGTATGAATTATCCTTAACTGATACATGGGGGAGAGCGTTAGCACACCAGTTTCTCACTACACTCAACGACACAGGTGCATCATTAACTTTTAGTTCGGTTCAAGATTGGGACATATTCAAGAACTACGAGATGCCATTCCCAATTTTTGTGAGTGACACTAGATCTCCAAATAGTCAGATTGTTAATCTCAATTCGACTCTAACTGAGTTCAACCCCTTTGAAATGGGAAGTTACGACGCCAGTTTGTATCAGTTTACCAAAATCAAGTACTTGGGAACTGACTTATCAGATGGAGATACAAATGGAACTTGTATTGGTGGATTCGATAACGCTGGGTATATCATGGGTACGTCATCAACTTTGTTTAATCAGTTTGTGTTGCAGATTAATACCACTTCATTGTCGTCGACGGTCAAATCTATCATCACCTCATTGTTGAAAAAGGTAGACAAAGATGAAGACGACGTGGCTGTATATGATCCAAATCCATTTTACGAGACTGATGTTGGTACGTCATCTCATATAGCCAACAATGAGACATTAACTCTTGTTGATGGTGGAGAAGATGGCCAAAATATCCCATTATCGCCTTTGATTCAACCAGTTAGAGATGTTGATGTTATCTTTGCCTTTGATAATTCAGCTGACACCGATGAATATTGGCCAAATGGAACTTCATTGACGCAAACTTTTGAAAGACAGTTTTCTGACACTGGAAATGGTACCATTTTCCCCTATGTTCCTGATGTGAATACCTTCATCAACTTGAACTTGACTGCTAGACCTACATTCTTTGGATGTGATGCCAAGAACTTATCCACTTTGCTCCAGCATCGTAACATTAGTACGTACAGCAACCTGTCTAGTTCTTACACTGTC